GTCCTCTCCCCACACTGACCCAGGGTTGAGACTCACCCTGAAACTCCTTCCATTACCTCTTGCAGCCTTCCTGCTCTCCTCCCCACTCTCCCCCTTGGAGGGCCTTTGTTCAAACTTCCCTCCCTTCCTGAGGGAGCTGTCTCTGGCTAAACATATCCTCTTATTTAAATTCCATCTTGAATGTCCTCTCCTCTGTAGCCTTTCCTATGAGTCCAAACTGAGGCTATTTTCCTTGCTCCTTTGAACTACATTTGTTCTTGCTTCCAGTCTCATCACAGACACCTAATTCCTGGAGCTCAGAGGGCAGAGGCTGGGTTTGACCCACCACTAGGTACCAGCTTCCTCTCCAAATTAGCACAGGGCTGGCCCAAGAACCAACTCTGAGAAGATGACAAAAATGTGGGCCTGGCCTTTCCCATCACTTCCTCTGCTTTGTCTTCAGCCCCTGCTACACACGACCCTCTGCTGCTGGCTGACTCTGGCCACCGGCTACACTAGCAGGCTGACCCTGGCCTGGCCAGAGCTCCCAGCTCAGCCCCACAGAGGTCTGGCCCTGCTCCTTCAGCCATGGGCCTGCGACCACCAAGCCAGGAGTGCCAGGACTGGAGGAAGGGAGTGTGCAAGAGAAATATCCAGCCCTGGTAGGTCTTGCTGAAAACTGGCTCATTTCAGATGGTTAATGGGAGGCTGCGGGGCTTGGAGGACACACCTAGGGAGGAAAGGAGTTGAAGTGTTCTTCCCATGCGGGGATCCACATGAAGGCTGCCGAACCAAACCAACCAGGTGTAGCGGTCCCAGCGGCAAGCTACAGAGTGAGGGACCGGAGAGCACTGACCTGGGAGACCACACGCCTGCAATCTACGCCTAATCCTTAAGCAGAGATTAGAGATTCACAGTGAAGAAGATCCTCTGAGTCTGACAGCAAAGATTTTATAAAAATGTTATTGCTCAGACACATATAAGACCAGATCTCCAAGTAACTGAAAAGGAAAAAGTTCAGATTAAACCGAAAGTGATGAATATTTTGAACAAACAGCTGTCCTCACCAAAGTTTAAAATCCAGTAATGAAGGCAAACAAACTACATGACTCTCCTGGATTACAAGCTGTAGGCTAGTCCAGGTCGGGAGACTGCACTAACACAACTACCTGTGTGGGGACCTGTTGGTGGGATATATCGTCCCATCGTACCAGACTGCTCCGGGAGTGCTTAGCAGTACACAATAAAACTCAATTTCTGGCCCTGGCTGGCGTAGCTCAGTGGATTAAGCCGGGGCCTGTGAACCAAAGGATCTCGGTTTGATTCCCAGTCAGGGCAGGTGCCTGGGTTGCGGGCCAGTTCCCAGCAGGGGACCCACAAGAGGCAACCATACATTGATATTTCTCTCCTTCTCTTCCCCTCTAAAAATAAATAAAATTTTAAAAAGCCTCAATTTCATTCTTATATAGGAAGTTTCATGATCTTTATATTTAGTTCTGTAGAAAAGAGACGTAGGGTACAAACAAAGTGTCATTCCACTTGAACCTCCAATTTGTGTTAAATGTGTTGAATTGTTCTTTACAGAAATGTTGGTGCTTGGGAAATTCTCCATTACGTGTCTGTATAGACAAAGGTCCTTGAGAAAGATACACACGTACACAACTAATCTTGGTTGTCATTTTTCAAATTGACACCATTTAAAAGAATCAATACCATATCACCCTTGGTCTAAGTACTAATATCCTAGTGACTCAGCTAATTGGGTTATCGGGGCAGCGTCGACCTCTGTCCCCCTGCCTCCCCCCGTCCCCACCTCCCCATCTCCCTTACTCTTCCCCACCCTCCCTGGAGGATAGGAGGGTAGGCAGATAACCTGGGCTACATACTAGAAGCATGAGGAGCATGTTTCTCTGTTAGACAGCAATTAATTGCAACTTTGCAAGGATGTGAACAATTAGAGTTAAAAAGAACCCTTGGAAATTTTCGTGTTAAAAAGTGACCATTTCAGACAATGGTTCCTGAAGAGTCCTCTCATTAGGCTCCCAAGAAACTCATTCAGATATTCACTTACTTTGCTGGTCTATAAGATTCTCGTAGTGATGGGGAGCAATCATACTGAATGGTTTTCCCTATCTTGAGACTTTCACAAACGAAAGACTGAATTGTGATCTGAATGGCATTAGCCATTAGCCTGCAAACTGTAATTCTATTTATAGTCCATCTGCCCATCCATCCAACAAATATTTACTTAGTTTCCTGTGTGCTAGGTATTGGGGTTATGCGGTAAAAGACCTGGTCTCCTATGGAGCTCACAGTTCCTGCATTTTAAAATTTGGTTTAATTGCCGTATCTCCTATTTATTGGAGATTACAGATGCATTACGCTTTCTCCATTAGTCAGAATTTGACTGGCACAAGTAGAAAGCATACATTATGAGTAAAGCCTTGGCCCTCCAGATCCTGCAGGGCATTAAGACACAGCTTGACTTTCTTGGATGTTCCTTTAAATTGTGGGTAATTTCAAACATTTTTCTTTCTTTGGTGAATACATTTCCAAAAGCATTACTGAGTTCCTTGCTTTTTAATGTAGAACATAATAATGATTCAAGGTTATTATTGATATCAATTATGACACTATCCTGTCAGAACGTGCTCTGCTAGGCCCTGTAATGGGATATAGAATCGTTTGCACCAATACTAAACAGCCTTTGGCCACTCTGATTTTGGGGGTTCTTTTGCCTATTTTTACTACAGTTTGTCTTCTTTCCTGTCAGGTTTTACTGCTGGTATCGAACTACTTGCTCAACTTCTTGCTTCTTATTGGCAGCTTCTAAATTGCCTGTGCCTCAAAAACAATCTGACAAAGAGGTAAAGTGGCTTTTAGAGAGACTAGAATGGAGATTCTGTGGAAAGGCAGGAACTTTATCTTTGCGATGGCTCTGTTGGTTGCTCAGAGGCTGGTTTTTATTTTGTCGTGATGTTATAAATAGGTGATGTTTGCTTGGCAGCTTAATTACTGAATTTATTCCTCTGCAGCCTGCAGCATTCTATATAGTTTAACTGGGCTTCTAAAAAGGCCTTCTCAGACGAAACCATGCTCTGTAGCCGGTGGGCAGACTTTCGGCTGTTTGAAAAGCACCAGGCTGCTGCCGTGGCTTGGTGGGGCAGTGTTGCGGAACCGGATAAGAGATGCAGTTGTGCTAGATATTTTGTTATGATTAATCAGTTCTGAAATGGATATCCCTTCCCTTTATATATTGACTTGGCAGAAGCAGGGCCCACAGGAAGTGTGCATTGTGATCTCTAGATTTCTATGCTTTGATGCTTAGTCAGTTTGGTGAGGATACCAGGAAAGTGAGACTTGTTAACTAAATCCCAGAGACCATAACTCAGAAAAGCAAAGCAACATGATTTACTGCTTGCTGGTCCCATGTCTTCTCAGACATCCTGGGGAAGAGGGGATAATGCTGAGCTGGGCTCAGATGGTGGAATTCGGAATCAATGGCTTTGGAATCAAAGTCAAAAATGGCTTTACAGGGGTCTTCTTAACTAGGCATGAGGAGAGATTATTTCTATGTCTGAAGATTTCCAAACAAACCACATGGAGAGTGTTAAAATTTGTGATTAAAAAAAAAAAAGACTGGGAACTTAGTAAGTTCTCCAGGAAGTCAGACTTTTTCCCCCCCTCTACAGCTTACTGTTTATATCATCTGACAAGGTTAATGTGTCTTGGAAGCTACATATTTTATGTTCCTTTTAAAACGATGCCATTTGATAACGTAACGGGATTCATCATCAGGAGTTGACCAGAAAGGGGTGACTTTCCAACCCTTACTTAGAACTCTAAGAACTCAGGGTGGCCCTTTTAGAGCAAAGTCTTGCCTCCTAGTCATTCTTAGCACAGGGCCATACTGAGGTCTCATCTTCTAGATCTGAGCTGCTCTGTATGGTGGCCACCTGCCATCCAAGTTTGTCAAGTTAAATAAAATTAAAAATTCATTTCTCAGCGGTATTAGTCATATTTCAAGTGTTCAATATCTACACATGCCTGGTGGCTACCGTAGTGGGCAGCACAGACACCCTTTCCATCACCGCAGACAGCTCTGTGGGCAGCGCTGTTCCGGGGCCCTGCCTCACCTGACTCAGCATGGCTGCTGCCACTGCCCACGACCTTAGGACTTCCTCTGAGGGGAAGTCCTGGAACAGGGTCCTGAGCGAGCTCTAGGACTTCATGCCACCGTAGTCCTTGTGTTTTGAGATTCTCTATTTGTATTTTGCAAACTGAATTATTTCCATTAGTTGGTTATGTTAACTCATTGACCAATGTTCTTGTTGACCCTCTGTTAAAAATAGAACATGTTGTGGAAAAGATTCTTAAATCAAGTTGGTGTTGGACAAAATGAGCTGTGAGGTTTAAGGGTTTTATGATTCTACTAATTTCAACACAACAGACAGGGTCAATGTTCTCTCCTGTGGGCTGTCAAGAAATATGTTCCATTAGGTAGTTTGCCTATGTATCTCCTATCTATCTATCTATCTATCTATCTATCTATTATCTACATTTTCTAGGCTGTTGTTTTGATTGAGATGATGGAGGAGTTGAGAGGAAATATTTAGGTTGAACAGAAACTTCAATGGACTTTGAAACCTAAGACCCACTAGGTGGAATGGTTAGCCTTAGATGAATTCTGATGCCAGGATTCTCTGCAGTTTTAATGAGGAAAAGCTACTTTTGTTCTTTCAAGCCTGGTTATCGTTCTGATTGGGGATGAAGATGTTGCCAGGTAGGTCCCTAAGGAGAACACTACTGAATACTTCACTTTCCACGTGGAACTTTGAACAACTGTGGAGAAATATGGATGAATGAGAAAGAAGTCTGACAGCAACTGACTTAGAATATTTAACAGGTAACAATTTACTAGGTGAGATCTTCCAAGCTGCTTTGACCCATTTGTTGGGAAGCCCTGGGGTGTGGTATGTACGGCCCTAAGTGCGCTCCACCGAAACCCTCCACCGACCTACTTGTTATGAAAATCGTAGATCTCCTGGATGTTGCCAAAGATGATATGTTCTTTATTAAGGATCCCCGGGGGGATCTCCTCCACACCACTGGTCATTTCCCACAGGTAGGTCTGTAAGACAGCAACAGTTTCATCAGCGGCAAGAACTGCCACGTGAAATACAGATGAAATGAACAGGCCTCCAAACGTGTGGTGTGAGACTCCGGCTGCCAACGTGAGCAGAGTGTAAAAAGGGAGATAGTACACAAGCAGGACGGAAGGAAAGAAAATCCAAGTTCCATTATCCTGAACTGTTGCTAGGGAAACGCATCCTGACCTTTGGCCAGAGCACAAAATCCACACTGTTCTTAGGTATTAAATGTGTGCATGTTCAAGTGTGTGCCGAGTGGATGAGGTAGGCTTTCATACTCAAGTTCATTGTGTCATGGTTATTATTTTGAACTCAAGGGTCTTATATACTTTTTTGGGTCTAGCTTGAGCCTAAGAAAAGTTTCTTTTCAAAAGAACCTTAAACTCTCATGCAATTACTACTGACTCTGATAGTTGTTAAGCTTTGGGAGAAGACAAAGAGCACTGAGCTCCTCTCGAGAACCCGATGCTGTCAAGGATGTCAACTCTCTGATGCAGCTGTTAACCGATCACTGCGAGACTTACCTCTAAGCACTCATGTAAGTCCCTTACATAAGCCTTCTCTGTCTGGAGCAGTTCAGCCATAATGAATCTGGAAGAAAACACATTGGCTTTTAGTTGGCTAGAGATATAATACCTCCCTCCTTCAAACTTCACTTCCCCGCTCCAGCATGTATGACATTATTGAATGTCCCATTTTTCTACTTTACCAAAATATGTCTCTGCCTTTCTTCAAAACTCCTTGCCTCTGAGTATTAGGTCTGAGTCCCTCTCACTTTGGTCATTTGCTCTGTCTCCCGTTGGCACATTCGTGCTCAGCTGGTTCCCCATCCTCTCTCCCTTTTCCCTCCCAGGTCTTCCACCTTGGGATTCTGTGCAGACATGTATATGTTCTCAACTACACATGTGTCTGCATGGGTGCGCAAGCACGCATCACTGTTCACATTCATTCTTACCAACTACAGCTTCAGTGTCGGCTTCCTACATCTGACTTACGGCTCCCAGAGTGATGGCTCCTGTTCAGTAGAGTTGTTGACTTATACCAAAACAATTCACAGTGCCTTAAGTTAAACCAGGTTTCAGAGCTAAAAATAACAAATGCTAAGATACTACCACTGAGACTGGGGGGTTAGCAACTTTAATCTGTAAGGAGCCATTCAATCTCTGTTATAACCACCCAGCTTTGCTGTTGTAGTGTGAAAGGAGCCATAGACAACACATCAAAAATAAACAAATAAGTGTGGCCATGTCCCAATGACACTTTGTGGACACACAAGAATTTCATCTAATTTTCACGTCACCACTATTCTTCTTTTCATATTTTTCAATCATTTAAAAATGTAAAAAAGAATCTTTAATTTACAGACAACGTAAAACAGGTGGTTATTAACCAATGTCATCCCAATAAGTTGAATTAAAAATAAAACAGATGGTGGGACAAATTTGGCCTGTGGGCCGTAGTTTGCTGACCTTTGCCCTGTGCACTTCGACACTATTTGTAATGGGGCTCATTTACATCACAGACCGAAGTGCACAATACTGAGTGTGCGATGACGAGCCCAGCACAAGTGGACGAGTTAAGTGGCTGCCCTTCGGTCTCCCACAAACAGAAGCCCGTGCAGCACCTGTGCAAGGGGGCAGCTCCCTCATAATACAACGCACCTGGGCAGCTGGCGCGCTTATGACGGTGCCTGGCTTCACTGTAGTGTACCAACTAAAGTTTCTCCTTTTGTAGATTTTTATGGGAAATGGCCCTGGCTGGTGTGGCTCAGCAGATGGAGTGCTGGCCTGTGAATCAAAGTGTTGCTGGTTTCATTCCCAGTCAGGGCACATGCCTGAGTTGTGGGCCAGGTCCCCAGTTGGGGGCGCATGAGAGGCAACCACACATTGATGTTCCTCTCCCTCTCTTCCTCCCTCCCTCCTTCTCTCTATAAAAATGAATAAATAAATAAAATATCTAAAAAAATGGTGCTTCCCAGCAGTCACGTGATATATAATAATATGTAATTTAGCACCAAGTATGTAGGTAGGGTAAGTGGAGGCAGTCTGGCTTCCTCACCCAGGTGTCTGGGTTACTAAGGGAAGCAGTTTCCCATAACATTGAGTGAGCTCGTATGTGTAGTATGAAGCTCTGTTGCATAAGATCTGTTGGCACCCTTCTGGCTTAATACTTAAGCAGGTAAGGGACCCCTTGTCGAGTGCCACGACATGTGTCCTGCAAGGAGACAAGTGACATGCAAAGTGCCACACTGAGATACGCAGGGGATGCGCAGCTTGCGGCGTGTGTGGCTCATGCACAGGTGAATAAAGGCATGTCAAGAATCCTGGGGCTCTGCGCTTTTTCTCCTCTCTGCCTGAACCTAGAGTGGACCTGCCAGGCCTCGACAGGCTGCAACACAGTGTGTTTACATTTACTTTAGATTTTCCATGTTAGTTTTTCATCATAGTATTTCCAGGTGTTCCATCGCATGAAAATTGTGAGAAACATTGCCCCTAATGTGTGACCTGTTGGAAATTACAGCAAATGTTAAAACAAGCAGGATATTTTGCTGGGCCTTTACTGTGGTGGGATTTTGCTTAAAGCAGTACATTGTACTAGCAGTGGCCTTCCTATTAAAATTAAAGTATTGATTTTAAAAGTTCCCTTTTGCAGGGGTTAATTAGCCACTCTGTTCCTTTTCTTACTCTGCTGGTAAACTGGAAAGTGCATGAGTTGAATTATGACTCTGTTATTTACCAGAGGGAGCACTTGCTTCTCCCAGCCTCAGACTCCTTACTTATAAAACAGCTGATCACACAGGACTGCCGCAAGTATTAATTAAGCAAGATTATGTAAGCAAAGTTTCTAGTGCATTGTAGGTGCTTAGTAAATGAGGAGGGAAAGGTGGTCAGAAGGACTAGAATCTGACATGTTTGGGAAGGTTGCCTTTGATTTTACTGTATTGGGATTCTGGCATTCCACCTTTTTCCTCCTTTTTCTCCATCTGCTTCCTGCAGTTTTGTGTCTTTCTTCATAATTTAGCTCCACCACCTTTACCATCCCCTGGCTATTCAGTGCCCCAGAGAGAGCCCAGCAGCAAGATTCGGCCAAGTGTGGTCTATTCTCCTCCTTTTCATGGGTTGTGTCCCCTCCCCCAAATTTCATATGTTGAAGTCCCAACTCTCCGGGCCTCAGAATGGGATCTTATTTAGGAAGAGCCACTGCAGATGTAGTTGGTTAAGAGGAGGTTATACTGGAATAGGGTGGGCCCCTATTCCGAAATGACTGGAGTCCTTAAAAAAGGGGGGAATCTGGATAAATGCTTGTATTCAGGAAGGATGCCACATGAACACAAAGACAGCCATTTCTAAGGCAAGGAGAAGGGCCTGGGACAAATTCTTCCCTCCTGGGCCTTAGCAGCCATCAACCCTGTTAACACCTCGATTTCAGACTTGTAGCTTCCAGAATGGTGAGACAATGCATTTATGTCATTTACATCACCCAGTTTGCCATTCCTTACAGTGGCCCAGACAGACTAATATACTCCCCAGGTGAAACAAAAACTCGGACTTAGCAGGCCAGCTTCAAGGGTCCTGTGTCCTACTTCATTTTCATAAAATCAGCTACCTCGGGATTCTTAATCTTAGGAAGCACTGTTTTTCCCCCTTTATTACCTAAAAGGAATCTGTCAAAACAGTCTTACAAGTCCCTTCGAAGATCTTCGGGTACATATGTACTGTGCAGTGAAACCAACATGAAGAAAGCAGAGTAATCAGGCAATGAGTTGCGAGGGGGACGTGATTCACTGTTCCCACTACCCAGTGCCCCATCACTCTCGGCTAGTGTGACATGCAGGTGGAAGCATCACCTGTGTCTCTTCTAACCTCTGTAGCAGTCATGAGCATGCACCAAGCTGTAAAGGGACAGGTAACCAAGAAAACCAAGCATAGCCATGAGGAGGCTGCTTAGCTGGGTGGAAGCCCCCCTGACAGAACGCACTCTTTCTTCCGGGCAGACTTCCGCTTCTCTTCATTGACTTCGTGGTTGGCGTCCCGCAGCTTGACCTCACGATCTGAAAGGCTTGCTGGGATGATGTCCAGCTCCAGGTCCTTGTTATCCTACACACAGAGAGATCACAGAGGTCACCTCAGAGATGCTTTGGGGAAACAGCTAAGCGGCGTAGGGGAGCAGGGCAGAGGCAAAAATAGGGGACGATATCATGGAGAAGGATGAGAAGACGGGGAGTCCCACAGACTGGCACCCACGAGCACCTTCTTCATGTGATGACTTCTTCTCCAATAAGACAGACATGAAATGTTCAGGTCAAATGTTTAGGGCTAACAGCCATTGCAAGGAAACACAACGGATATACTTGATGATTAGGGTCACATTTCCTCAAGGACTCTGTCCTGACACAATCTAACCACACACGCACAACGTTACTCCAAGAGTGATGACTGCCCATTAAAGTACATGTGAAACAGAGATGCACAAAGACATAAGAATTAACTTTCACTTGTCAAGGGAAAATAATAAAAGCAAATATTTAAATCAGCAAATTCCTTGGAAATAGAAAACAATTACTGAATTTTCTAATTGCCCACCCCTGCTTATTTCAACACCATTTGGTATTTACACAGGATGGAGACCTCTAGGAAGAGATCTCACAGGTTAAAGCCTAGTTTCAGTGGCTTCACCACTGTGCTCTCTGGTCTGCGGTGCTTCAGAGCATGAGCCTATTTAAAGATTTAAGAATCAGAAATCCTGGGGCTGAACTGCCAGCCTGTGTTTAGCTCTTAATTCATAGGTCACTGACCCCCATTATAAAGAAAAGATTAAAAGTCGGTTGAAATGTCAAATAACTTTTGTACAAAATGCACCTTTATTCTCGAAAGAGCACTGTTATACATACTGATGACTCTAATCATTTGCTGATTAACATAATTGGGTAGAAGATGGTACCAATGAAGCCAAGATAAAGAGCTTGGTCTTCAAAGTCAACAGTTAGCTTCACACAGCAAAACTCTGTTCTGTAGCCACAGGCCCCAAGTGTAGCCTGCCAATTTCACTATGTATATTGAATACATATCACACTAATCATGCAAAGCTAGAGGCCAATGGCTAGATGGCTCAGGAAGACCCACCCCTCCACTAGAAAACCACCCAAGGCAAGTGCGGTAGGAGCTCAGAAAGACTGCTCCGGAAACCACGCTTCCTTCCGCGGCAAGGCCAGCGGTAGCACTGAGGGGGACAGGAGAGGAGGACGTCCCAGCCGGGCAGCTCCCACACCCACCTCCGTGTTGACTCCTAGGGCTTTCTCCAGGGAGTACTGGTACTTCCCCATCCTCAAGGAGAAGTCTCTGTAGTGCTTGTCCACCGTGGTCACCCACTTCCGGATCTCCGTGGCATGAATGTGGCCTTTTTCCACAAAGCTATCGGCCAGCTGAATCAGAAGCTTCACCTTCTCCTTTGTTTGCTGCCCCAAAAGACGGTTTTAAGTTACCAGAACACGTTTACTCTCAAGGCCCTCGCCCCCATTTCCTTTTTCCCTCCTCACGGCAGCCACAGAGAGCTCACAGACAGACAGACCGGCTGGGTTTACACCTGAGTTCTGTCACTTATTAGCTGGGGGTGCTGAGAAAGTTACTTAAACCCTCTGTGCCCCATTCCTTCATCTGCAAAATAGGGACCATAACAGTGTCTAAGTCGTACGGTTGTTGTGAGTGTTACGTGAGCTGCAGTGCAGAGCGCTCAGGATGGTGCCTGACACACAGGCTCACAGTGAGAACTCAGTGAGTAATACATGTCAGTCACTATGATTATTAATGGAAGAACCTCTTACGTTACTGTACTTTACCAGCTACGGACTGTGTTACTGCCACCCCTAAGACTCATCTGAGTCTTAAATCATCCCTAGGAGGTAGGTGGTAGAGGAAGGGGGTGTGGGTCTCTTTAACACCACAGCTGAAAAAAAACAAAAACTCAGGCTGAAAGACATAGGTCTCGTCCAGGTCCATACCACCTGTGAGTACCAGCCTGCCTGTTGCTGTTCCACAGTTGTGAGTTCTCTCCCTTCACTGTACTGGCCTGAGGTAGGCTTTCTCAGCATTGGGTAAGATGGCACATGCCAGGATACAAAGAAATGCAGTTAGCAGATTTAAGAGTAAACCATGTCCCTTTCACCCCCAGAATCTGTCTTTAGCTTCCGCAGAGAGAGGGGGGAAAGAATTAACGAAGTTGTATCCATTACAGAGCTAAGTAAGGTGGAACTCTGATGCATTGCACTAATTTCATTTTGAGCAAGAGTTTGCCCGACACTTACTCTGAGTGCAGAGGGCTGTGGGGAGAAGCTAGGGGGAGAAGCAAAAGAAGAAAAAAAGATACTCATTTTCCTCTTTATGTCTCTAGAGGGGACCAGATTTTCACAGAGGGTAGTTAAACAGCTGAGGGCACCATGTCACTGAATGTCAAAGTGAGAAGTATGTGTAGTTAACACTGCAGAGATTCCAGAACAGGAAAAGAATCAAGGGGTGCTGGCCTGGGCAGAAAAGGCCAGGTGGGACCTCACAGGTGAGACTTAAGACACGGAAATGGAAGGGATGTTCAAACAAGCAACACTTGCTCATCTTTTATCTTAAGTTTGGATTCTGAAACTCCAAAATCAATCAGGGAAGCCTAACAGCTTTAAGAAAGAATACTGAAATAATACTCTGAGAGGCAAAGCTATCTTTTGGACTGGAAGAAAGTTAGTCCAAGGTTTGCATCGTGATAACTGAGGGAAATAGGCAGAAAATCACTGGAGGAAGAGGAGAAAAGACAGAAGAGCCTTTCCCACCCACCCTTTCCTTTCCAGGCTCATTACAACCCTTCCCATGTCACTGACCCCCCCAGAAATGCCAGCGACACAAGCAGAGAGGACTTGGCCTGCCGCATGGCCCGGGGGAGGCAGGCTTTAGCTCTGCAGCAACTCAACGCCTGAGTCTCGCCTGCCTCAGGACAGTGGGCCGGCACCCAGGGCTGGGAGGCAGGGGGCCAGAAGAGCTTTGGTGTGAAGCAAAGAAAATGGGCATGAGGACAGGAGAAATAGCTCCTTAGCCATGAAAAGACTAAGAAGTGGTATTTGGAGCTGGTTAAGAAAAGATACCTGGTATCCTAAGGACTTCGATCTTCCTGCATTTAGGTTATTTTTCCTCTCTAGAAACAATTTTTTTTAGGTTTGCTACTTACTTAAAGTTTAATTGTTGCAGCTATAAACAAGAAACCTGCCTTTGTGTTAATTCTTGGCAATACATATTTATTCTCTTCTCTCGGTAAGGAGACTTCAGCATGAGATGGGGTTTTATGAAAAGCTGGTGGCAGCAGCCCCACCAGAGGGAATTTTATCCTGAAACGTCAAAACTGTGATTCAGAGTCAACAAAAAGAATGGCTGGTGACCAAGGGTATTCCAAGTAAGTGTGGAATCTGGGAGAGCACACAGACAATAACATGTGCAGTACAGGCAGGCCCTTCCCCACGAGAACTCACCTGCACCTGCGACCGTCTCCACCGCCCTCCAGGGCCCCTAACCTGCAGCCACACTGAACCTCACATGCCCCTCCTGCTGTGATGAGGGGCTCCTACTGCTTCCTGCTTTTAACCCAACGGCCCTTTTTCATCTCCTCTCCTCCCCACAATTTGAGTGGGTGATGCCCTTCTCAGTGTTCCCCCGGCATCATATATATATATCTCTACTTCAGCATGTATCACACTGAGCCACGTATGTGCCTCTACTTCAGCATGTATCACACTGAATCATGTATGTGCCCTCTTCATTAGACCATGAACTCCTAAAAGATGTGTTCTATCTTATTTATTTATCTCCAATGTCTAGAAAATAGTAGGCAGACCATAAATGTTGAATAAATGAATGAGCAAAGGACTGAGTGAATCTTGTGTTCAGAGGTATGTAAAGCTAGACCGGTAGGAGCTGAGGGTTTATACCTGGGAGAATCAGGTGATAAATTTGCCCCATGAACTGGACACCAACCTCACCCACAGCCCCTGCTGAGCACGGCCTGGAGTGATTTCTCACTCAGAGTGACTCTGGTGGTACCATGCGACCTGCCACATGCCTGGTCACATGAGGTCAGAGGTAAAAACTTGTCCCACAAGGCAGCCCATCCACATGCAACCAGTCACTTCTGAGTTGTCCTGTCTTAAAAGCTCTGTCTGAACAGGGAGAGCGGCAATAGACCGGGTCAGCTGAGGTGGTTTCTCTGGGAATCTGAAGTGCAAAGACAGGGCACTGGGTAGTCGGCTGTAGAGCAGAAGTGAAAACAGAGAGAGCAGAGAGAAGTGAAAGGAAGCTGAATGGTGGTAACATATCCCTGATGCCCCGCGATGAGATGACCAGATAACGTGGCTGCTGGGACTGCCCGTGGTCTTCGGCACACCCGCGGAGGTGACACTCTGCCGCGCTTCCTGTTTCTCCCGTAAGGCCGAGCCAGTCACCATTTCCTGGGTTCCTGGAGGTCCAGCGACATAGTTTCTGTGTTCTTCCCTTCCACACGTAGCCACGCAGTATCTTTTCCCCTTCATAACCTGAGCCAGTTTGCAACGCAGGTTGCAGAGGTCCTTGGGTGTTAGTTTCAGAAGTATGTACATGGTCTTGCGGACAAAAGGGAAACTTTGGGGGGATAAAATTCACTTGGGCCCAGAAATTTGGAACTGATATCTCACTTATCTTGGCTTCATGTGTCCTCTAATGTATGTTCTGCCATTTCCCCTCTGAGTTCTATGTTATCTGCTAGAAAAAATAGGTAGAAAAAGAAGGGTTCGGTAGTTCTTTTTCTTTCTTTCTCTTTCTTCCTTCCTTTGACCAGTTAATATTATACAATCTTCCCCTAATCAGTGAACTTTACACTGAATATAGTTTTTCAGAAGCCCTTTTGGTGCCTTTAGCACATATAAGTCTTTAAGATTTAGCTTTTCAGTATTATACTTATAATTTCAGTATAAACTTCTAAGTTGCCTTTCATTGCTGATATTGATTGATTGATACAGTCTTCGTAGATATGAACCTGTTGAGCTCCCTGTGTGGGTAAACAGTTCTGCTGAGATACATCCTCCCATGCATTCCACAGGAGAGTTTGTCATTATATACAAACAACCAAACCTTTCAATAATACACATCAGGTATGAGCTACAGTTCTCTTAAGAGTCTCAAATACAGATCATGCCCGTTTTTAATCGGAACTGTTTAGAGTCCACTCTTCCCACTCGGAAGTGCCCCCCTGACGGGCCCACAGCTCCCTCCTCTCACGGTCCGATTCCCAGGCACGATTCAGTTCCGCTGAGGCTCCAGGAGAGCCTTTCAGGATCCCTTAACCCTCCTCTGTTAATAAGAATTAAGTCCGGTTTATCTCGTAGCTTCTTTCAGAGGTAAAATGACCAGTTTTAAAAAGCGTCTTCTCAACCTCATTACTCACTGGGAAATGCAAGTCCAAGCCACAGTGAGGTAATACTTCGCCCTTTAATGGGATGACCACACAAGGAAGATGGACGGCACCCAGTGTCACAGAGCAAGCAGAGGAGAGGAGTCTGAGCTCTCACGCTTTGCCGGCGGGGGTGTGAAATCACGTAGCCACTTTGGAAAACAGTTGGGCGGTTTCTCAGAAAGCTCAACATGTGACCCTGTCATTCCACTCCCAGGTTATATACCTGAGAGAATGGAAACATATGTTCACATCAAAACTTGTGCACGAAGGTTCCCAGCAGCATTATTCACAGTAGCCAAACGGTGGACACAGCCCAAATGTCCATCAACACATGAATGGATAAACAAAAATGTGGTATTTCCACACAAGGGAGTATTATTTAGTCATAAAAAGGAATGAAATATTGATACATGCCACAACATGGATGAATCTTGAAAACATTACACTGCGTGAAAGAAGCCAAACACAAAAGACTATGTATTATAGGATTCCGTTATTTTCTTTCTAGGAAGTGTCCGAAGCAGGCCTACCCCTAGAGAGAGGCTAGTAGCTGCCAGGGCCTGCAGGCCAGGGCTGTGGGGAGTGGCTGCTGACGGCTGTGGGGCTTGTTTTGGGGGTGATCAAAACGTTCTGGAATCAGACAGTGCCAACGACTGCACACCTTGTGACTAGACTAAGAAGCGATAAATTGTAGGAAGTTAAAAACAAAAGAATTGTTTTAAAAAGTTTTGCTTTTAGAAGAAAGGAGTTCTTCCAGATGTCAATTAAGCTTTCTTAATCACTGTGTGCCTGGACCCCTTATAAATTTAAAACCTACCATAGGAAAGTTTCATATTCTTCTAACTGACTGTCTATGGCATGTATTTGCGGACTGCTATTAGAATGTACATTTTTATATTTAGTGTTTCTTTTATTGAATCTGTTTCCCTAGAGCAGAGTATATTCAATATTTAGTTATTGCCCTGTTCAGTCATGAGGTCCACTGTACTTATTCTCTTGTTGTTTAACATCAGTTTGGTTTTTATTTCAAATGTATTTTATTGGTTATGAAGGTTAAAACCAAAGCTGTCTGATTAAAAGAGGCTTTCCTCGGGGAAATGGGGCTGGGGTGGGCAAGAAAGGCTGTCACCTTTCCTCAGAAGCTTCCCACCTGGGTTTGTTATTCTGTAGTTATTCTAATACCACTTAGCCCCGAGACTTGGATCATGATAGATAGGACAGTGAAGCCCCATTATCAGAAATAGCTAAGTTAACAAGGAGAAGCAACTCAGAGAGGCAAAGTAAAGGAATCATTAAATGCCGATATCGATGTATTTAATGATTCCTTTTTTTCTAAATTTCTTTTTTCCCTTACATTCACAAATGTTTGTGGCTTCCGTTCAATGCAAAAGTTACGTAAGTGAATAAAGAGTAGTTCTTGTCCTTCAGGATCCTGCTGGCTCGTACGGGGATTAACACTGCAGAGAGATCACTGGAGAACGGGACAGTCCGTACCAGGGGCTTCAAGGTCATGTGGACCAGGGCTGGGGCAGACCGTATCCTGGCACGGAGGCAGGGACACAGAGGAGGAGGCACTGAAGGAGGAAGGTGGGCGCTTTTAAAAAGTACAAACTGAGGGAAGGAGGGATATTCTAGGCAGAGAAATAGAATAGAAACAGAAAGCATATCAGGTGTCTCTCAGAGGGTAAGAAAGTACATCTATTCAGCCAGAATTAGCATAAAAGAATAACTGAAGATAAAGCGGGGGTGTCAAGGTATCAGTTGTAGAAGCTGCTGAGTGTTAGCCTGAGGCACTGCAGAATCATTCAAGTTCTTGAGCTGGGTGGGAATGTGACCACAGTAGCGCTTTAAAGATGAACAACACTGAAGATCAGGATGGGCTGAAAGGAAGGAAAGTCCAAAAGTATGCAACCCAATTGGGCTTCAAAGTGAGTAGAAAAAGAGGAAAGACAGGAAGATGATGGTGAAGGAAGAAGGGATTAAACTGACCAAATGATCCTCCACATTTCCGTCTGGGTTACGACGGGTTCTGACCCTGGGAAGTTCTGGGTGTCTGCTGGGGTCCGCCCCGTGTGACTAGGAACACCGGCAGAGCTGGTGCTGATTGGCATGAGAGCAGTTCATGACTGACACTGATTAGAGAGAGGCAGATAGATGCAAAGTGGCTAATTTAAAAAACATTTTCATTTGGACTTCAAAAGTGTTCTGTGCACCTGCCACCTTCCTCATGCTGTTCTGGCTGGTACTGAAATGAGCCTCTTCTCTGAACCAACAGCTCTCCACATTTGGCAAAAAGGCCCAAAGGCTCACAGATGCAGGGGAAGGCCTCCCACTATCAAGAGTCCTTAGTGGAGGATTCATAAAGGGGTTGACTTCTTCTGAAACACCAGTTCAGAAATGAGGCCAAGGGCCTAATTTCGTCACATCAAACCAGGGGAACACTTGCCACAGTGTCAGAGGGATCTCTGGGTAGGGTGGGGCACTAATATGCACCCCCCCACCCCTACAAAGTGAGCTCTCAACCAGGGAAGCGCATCTGCCTTGCTTGCAAGAGGTGCCAAGAATGGCTCCTCCTCCGCAGGGAGCTGGGTGGGGGGTGTGGAGGGGGAGGACCAGGGCCCTGCAAAGAAGGCACTCACACAGATCTGATTTCCATTCAAGCCTAAAGGTCCTCAGATCAAATCCCAGCTGTGGAAACAGTTGAGAATGAGGTTTCCTCTCACCGTAGCACCCCTGCCTCAGTGGGCGTGGGCCTGGGGGTGGGGTGGCAGTGCATGGGTGCTTGTTCAATCCCCAGAGACCCCGGTCTGCCTCATTTGCAGGTCTGAGGCCAGAGAGAAGTACAGTTGACCCTCAAACAACATGGATTTAAACTGGAAGCAAACTCTCCTGTACTGTGAACACACCCATAGCCATTGGCCCTTCCGTAAGGTGGACGTTCTAAGCCATTCAAATCCCAAGAACAGATGGCTAGGCATGGATGTTCACACATGCAGTGTGCGTTTTGCACGGGTACATCCCTTTGCCTTATCTGGCCCCCGAATATAGCAGAGTCCAGAACCCAGAGCATGAAGAGCAGTGTTTGGAAGCACAGTGTATAGGAGCTGACTTTCTGCACACAGAGGCTCTACCCAGCAGCTGCTGTGATCTGGGCACTCGGCTGCCAAAGGAGATAATCCCACCGGTTCTTCACCCCCACCCCTGCCACTGTGGTTAAGCATTTCTGTGCAAGAGGCTGTTCTACCTTCCATGGTGTGAAATTGGTCAGACTGGAGAATTCCAAGGAAGGTTCGGGGAAGGCCCTGGGGTGCTTCCTACCTTGGCGGGCACCCTGAATTCCCCGTATCCTTTCAGTAGTTCCTGAGTCTCCTCTGCGCTCTCTCCGGTGGAGGTATGTGTTGAGAGGTAATATTCACCTGTTTCTTGGATCCAGTCAAGCGCCTGTGGGAGCAAACAACTCACCCAGTCCCCCCAAAGCCAGCTGTCAGTAGGAAAACATGCCATGCCACCGTGAAAGCTGTGGTTAGGGACAGCACGACAGATGCAGGAAATGCCAGCATGACTTGATCATGCAGCTTGGAAGTTGACTTATATATGAGCCCTCCCATTAGACTTGGAACATCCCCACGGACAAAGAGAGTGTCTTGTCCATTAGACTGACCCAATAGCACCATGAATTAGGGGTAAAAATTTTCCACAATGTCTTCCCAGCTCCTGGTACCAAACTCTAAGTAGGGCACTTGGTAAAGGCTGAGTGACTGGTAAGTGGCAGCTTGTTCCCTCTCCTCTCTTCATCCCACCTCCCATCTTCTCCACCCCGCCTGCTGCTATGTCCTTCTTCTGGATGTCCCGAGTGTTGGTCACCTTGGCCTCCACATCGTCCCTCTAAGATAAAGCCAGGGAAAACTCTAAACATACCTGCTTAGCACTGCGCTCAAACACCACGTATTGCTGACACTGGTCTAACCGCCGCTTCTTCAAGGTCCAGAAGTGCAGGACACGGTTCTCCCTCTGTAAAAGCTCACTCAGGATGGCTGCAGGGCAGAGGAGATGAGCGCTGGTCACGGGAAGGCCCTGAACAAATCTGACCGGCCACTTTGGCCCCGCATCCTGGGTGTCAGATGACTGTGGACTTGCAGGCCTCCCCATGGGATTAACCCAGGCATCAGAAGCAAGGGAGCAAGAGCATGTTCCAGAGAGAATGTCCCAGAGGGGAACAGGATAGGGAGGCTGGGGTGAGAGCCTGTTGATGAGGTTCCATCAATTAATGAGGGAAGAATATGTCCCTAGGGTGGCTTGAAAGCTGACCCTGATTCTTTCCACACCAAAGCTTGCCCTTGAGGGTAAGAGGTCATTCAAAGTGTCAGTCCCTAAAATAACAACTTAGTTGGCCCCTGGGGCCTGTAAGAGTGAATGGACCTGACAGAATCCCAGCCATTCCTGAGGAATTCTAGGGTAGGGTGAGAAGGAACTGTGAGGTAAGGGCTGGTGGACCTGCACGGGAGCCTGAGGCCTGTGCCACACTCTGCTCTGCTCACAAGGCTGTGCAAACAGCACTTCAACAGTACAGCCTCGATTTTAAAACTCCCAAGTCGTGGGCCAAGGGAAGTTGTGTTGGAATCACGTCCACATGGAATCAGATCTCTAAGACCAAACTTCCATGGTGTTTGGGGATGCGGTCGTAAGAAAAGCTGGAAGCCAGTCTCACGTTCCCTCTGATGACATTAAGTGTGAGGAAAGGAACAGGACTTTCGGCTCCACAGTACGTGTGGGAAGCGTTCATTCATCTCACTGCCCTTCCTTCTTTTGTTGTTTCGGGAGCAACTGACTCCAGGAATGGGTTTCCTACGTGTTTTAATAGAATGATTTATGCTCGAAACCATCAGATTTGTTTTGTTTTATGTCTGCCTCCTGCTTGCTGCTAACTATATTAGATGTCAATAAAATATACAATAGGATTCTATAAAAATTGACATTTATGAAGCCCTCACTATGTGGCAGACTTATTTTCACAACACCTCATGATGCATGCACCGTATTGTCTCCATTGTACGATGAAGAAATGGAGGTTTAGAGAGCAAAGGTGACTTGCTCACAGTCATTCATACAGGCAGGGGCAGAGCTGCTTGACTTCAGACTCCGAGTCCTTAGCCACCTTGGCCTCCAGGCTTATTGGGGCTGTAAAGCACAAGTTACTGTGCTCTACAAAAAAGGACACAACCCAAACCACAGTGCTTATACTTAGAAGTTTCTTGTTGATTTCGTGAAATTTTAATGCTCCATGGAAGTCTGATTCTCTAGGGACAAAATCTGTCTTTCTTCTCGCAGGCTGAGAGCTTATTCAGTTCTCCCTATATCTATGCCTTTGCCATGTAACTTTTTAGTTTCTCCCCAAAGAGACAAAGTGTATTTTCTCACCCCTGACCTCAGGCTTGGCCATGTGACTTCCTCTGGCAAACAGATGAACAGACACCACGTAAGGAGGGGCTTGCAGTGTGCTACCCACTGACCGTGCCTCTTGTCTTGGCCATCGGCAGTATAAGAAGTTCTCCTGAGTAACCGCTGTCCCCTCCACCGAGGTCCCAGAATTCATACATGAGTAGCAGACAAGAACCCAATTTGCAGTGAAGGAGCCAAGCCAGCCAGACTTGCAGCCTGCAGCAGAACTGCCTTGCTGAGCCCAGCCAAGACAGCTGATGCCGGCTAACACACAGTCACGTGACCACTAAATGCTTACAACAGTATACCACTGAATTTTTTGGTTGTTTTTACAGCAATCATTGCTCCTGTACAAAAAATTAAAATAAGTGGCACTGCTTTGGGTCCAGGCAGCCAGTGGAAAGGAAGAGGAAATAGGGAAGACTGTAGGTCCCTGCTCAGGTGGCAGCTTCAGTTGGGCAGATGAGTGAGAACCTGCGTTTCCTTTGGTATTTCTGTCTCCTCGTCAGAGCTTTGCTCATTGCAGCTCCCTCCATGGCAGTTGACAGAATCACCCACATCAGGCAAAAGTCCTAAAGAGTTTCAGGTTTCATTTTATTTTCTTTTAAAAAAGCTTTCCTATGGGCAGCAACCTGCCCTCCCTCCCACAAAGTTGTGGCCTATCCTGTTCTGTCCCGTACCTGTCACTCTCAGCACACTAAGAGGTAGGGGGCGTGTCTGTTCTCAGCAGGCAGCTGGTCTCACCCAAGCTGCCACCTGCATTTGGAAGTCAGAACATAGGCTCTGCAATGGGCAGGAAGGGGAGGCTGGCAGAAAGCCAGCCACACACAGGGCTGCTGAACACACACCGGGCAGCACACCCGGGGAAGGAACTCTGCTTCCCTCTTCTCTGTAGGGGACTTTGATTCCTAACTGCATTCTTCCCATTGGCCTCTGATCTTCTCACCATGGGGAGCTCTCTGAGCAGGAGGGAGGCTCTTCCTAAGGCAGGTCAGCACCTCCAGGGGGCCACTCCGAAGCTCTCCAAGCCTGTCCCCCACCCCTCGCTCCAAGTCAGTTTCGGTTCCTCCCTAGCCTTGGGTCCCCAAAGTTTTATTTTTCTGTGTGTCAAGACACCATTTGTTAAACTCTATATCCACTCAAAGGCAAATTTCTGCATGGTCCAGAGTAAGTGATTCCAATAATTTAAATGTAATGTGATCAGCTAATGAGTAGTTGTTAAAGGTTCCTGATTTTTTATACAGTTATCAATTTTATAGAATTCAGGAAGATATTAAAGATGATCTAGACCAGTACTTAGTTCAAGTTTATGAACACACAAATCACTTGGTTGGAGTGGGATAGGGGAGCTCTTTCTAAAATTCAGGGTGACTCAGTAGGTGTAGGTGGGGCCTGAAATTGCGTGTTTCTCACAGCTCCCAAGTGATGATGTGCTGCTGGTCTGGGGACCACGTTTCAAGCAGCAAGAATCTAGATATCTTTCCCTATTTTTAAATAAGGAAACTAAAATTTTAGAGCTTAGCCAAGAAGTAATAAGGCCAGGATTAGAACTTGTCCCATTCCCAGGCTCTAAGATACCCTAGCATTGTGCTGTTGCCCACATGCGGCTATTTACGTTTAAACTGATTAATATTTAATAGAAGTAAAAACCTAGTTCTTCAGTGGCACAAGGCACATTGCAAGTGCTAAATAGCCACGTGTGACTAGTGGCTAGAAGACTGTGCGGCATGGATACAAGCCATTTTTGTTATTTCAGAAAATTCTATTAGCGCTGCTCCAGGCTCTAAGACACATAAATGAAAAAGCTTTGGTGAAATTTCATCATCATTTTTTCCATTCCAAACCTTGATGCATATTTTAAAAACTTCCCATGAATCACCGCAGCCCATGCCATCCCACAACTAACTTTTTCTTATCCAAGGAGAAAAACCAGGAAATCTGAGACCGCGTGAAGACCAGGTACACAGCCTCTGGCCTGCGCTTCTGAGTGGCCGCTGGCCAGCAGGCCTCACACTGACCTTTCACCTGCTGCTCAGGTCCCCGAGTGTGGCTGGCGGCGCTGGGCATGCTGGCGTTGTTCCTGTGGATGTACTTGAGAAACACCTCAGCGTTCCGCCGCGCCAGGGTGCAGGCCTGAGGGAGACAAAGGTGTGAAGCCCCCACACGTAAGTCCTGGTCCAGCAGGTGCGTGGGGTGCACGACATCTAGAAGGAAACTTCACAGTGAAGCTCTGTGAAGCTCTGGGTGAGCAGAGCCCTGGAGGCCACTCTGGTTCATGGACGCTCGGTGCTAGAGAGCTCACCCTTTCACTGAGTAAAGAATTACTTTCTGTGTCTCTCCCTTGTCCATTACAGGTGAAAATCAGAACTCAGCCATACCTTGACTGGTACAAGCTGAGTCAGTATTACTAATACTCACTCTCAGGCTGGTTTTCTGTGTCACCAGAATGCCTCTTATACCACCACTGACGTAAGTCACTTTAACATTAGTTTAATTTAGACTCGAGTAAGTAACTTTGAGAAACCAACCATGCATTCCAAATTGAAATGGCTGTTATTCACATTTAAAATTTTATTTGTCCATCAAATCAACCCTCACCTCAGTAACACTAATAAATACCCGATTGCTGAGAAACATCACTCCCCCTAAAGGAGTAAGAGCTCCAATAGGAGCCCTTTTAAGACTCATGGTTGTAGGGGTGGCAGAGAGGACAGCTGCCCCATGTCGCTGTGCCCAGGGAGGAAACCGAGGCCCCGCAGGGCTGGCGCCATGAAGCAAGCCAGGGCCAGAGTCTAGGCCCAGGGACACGTCTAGTTTCTCTCAAAATCACAGATGATGTGAATTTCTTTAGAAATCAGTTTCCCCCCGATTGTGCAAGTCATACATGGTAGTCCACTGATTTCTAATCCATCGTTTTCAGAGTTACATTGTCTCTAGACAAAACTGTCAAATTTTAAATTGTTTGCTTTATTGATTTTAGAGAGAGAGGAGGGAGGAGAGGGAAGGAGAGAGGACGAGATGGAGAGAGAGGGAGGGAGAGAAGGAGAGAGAGATTTGTCGTTCCACCTACTCAGGTGGAAGTTCCACTGGTTCCTGCTAGTATGTCCTCTGACTGGAGATCCAACCTACAACCTTGGCGTATTGAGACGACACTCTAACCATCAGAGTGAGCTGGCCAGGGCCAAAACTGTCAAATTTTAAAACCTGTTACACGTAGCCTCTATTACTACAAATTATATAATAGAAAATAGTTTAAATGCTGCATTAATAACGATGGCTTTTAAGAGCTCTGGGAAAGACTATTGGTGGGTCCATCCAGAGGCCCATCATGAATTTAACAACTGGATGGTGGTTCAAAGCTAAGAAATCCAAAATAGAGCAACTAACGTCCCATCCATTGGGTATGTACTTCCCACAACAACAGGGAGTTTCTGGACTACAGTTTTAGGCAATTTGGAAAACATATAATCAGAACATTTTCTTTTTTCCTTCTTCAAAAGAAGCATCTAATCTTATAAAGAAATACCTTTATTTAAAATCTTCGGTATGCTCTATTTAAGTTGTTTTGTTTTAAATTTTGTTTTATAATGGGGAAGACTTTTAAAATCATCTTAAGCCCCATATAGAAGAATGTCTATTTAATCTCACTGGTAAGAGTGGTTAGGGCTCTGATTGACTGCAGGTACAGAAAACAGATAAATGGGAGAAGGGAGGGGAGAGGCCATCTTAAAAAAAATAGTAAAACTCATTAAAATGGTCCAGTAGAGAAAATCCCTAATAAAAGAAAGGCAGTTCATTACAGAATTGTAGTAAATTAGTGGCAACATGTTAAGGTATAAAAATTATCTTTTGTACTTGCAGAAACCTGAGAGGAAGCAGAACCTGAAAGCAAGAAATCTGAGAGTAAATGGAGCCTTTAGTTAAGTTTTAACACAGGAGACTCTGTCAAAGAGAAGATGGAAGCCTGGAGGGTCAGGAGGACTCCCTGCAGGCGCTGGGAGCCTGTTTGGAGCAGCTCCCAGGCTTCCTCCCTGGGAAGCTGGAGCTCTATTAAAAAAAAATCTTATAAGGTATTGCTTTCTTCATATAGCAGAGTACTCGGTTAGTTGCTCAGTAATTGATAATTATGAGATTTATAAATAAGTGAGATGTATACATTTATTGCTTTTAATTCTTCCTTAAACATTGCATTATGCCTTTATAAAAGACTTATTTTAATATTGTTTTATACCTAGGTTTATATATTTCAATTAAAATATTTTAATAGAACAAACGAGTAAGTGAAAGTATGGATTTTTCTCAACTAACGTCAGTGGGATATTGGGATATTTGAACATGGCACCAGTAGTAATGGTGTACGCACCCTCACTGCCTAATTATACACAATGTGCCGAGAGGAATACTGTGTTTTGCCATGTGTAATGCAGCCCACGTTTTCGGCCCACACTTTCAGGAAAAACAATCTTTCATTTTAATATTTTAATTCAATCATTTATTTATTTATATTTAAGTACTTGTTTTTTTGTATTATAAATAAATTTTAGTATTTATTTTTGAACACCTTATTGTACAAGAAATTTTATGTAACAAATCATTACAAAACATAAGAACAGATACAAATTATTTCAGGTACTACCCATGTATAATGTGCATCCTTATTTTTCCCTAAAAAATTTGAGTAGAAAAGTGCACATTACACACAGCAAAATATGGTAAATATTTGAAGCGTGACCTTTCAACCTTTCAAGTTAGCCAGCCAATATCCTCTCTACAAATACCCCCTTTTAGGTAAGAAGCTAGAGTAAACAGGGGAATGGAAAGCCCTTATGAAGCATTGTGTGTGAGAGTGGGGGATGGGGAAGGAGAAGAGGAGGAAGAAGAGGGAGAGAAAGAAGGTAGATGAAAGAACAGGCTGAAGTCCCAGACCTCAACAGAGAGACTTCCGCCAAGATGGAGGTGTAGATGGAAACATTGTGCCTTCTCGCACAACCAAGTTTAAAAACAACCAAGTTTTAGCAACAAAAACGCAGCCAAACCACAGAATATTGAACTATACGGAAGTCTGACAACAAGGAACCCTTCAGCCAAACCGGTAAGAGGGGCAGAGCCAGCGGCAGAGCCAGCAGCAGAGCGGGGGTGGGCAGGAAAGATCCACCAGACTGACCTGGGCATGCAACCCAGGTGCGCCAGAAGCCGTGGGCGGATCCCAGGTGTGGAGTAGCAGGCGGACCCACTGAGGGCTGACCCATTCGCGCGCAGATAAACAGGCGAAGGAGCGAGCAGTGAGATTGACCATGCAGGCCCCAGCGGTGGGAAGCAGCAGAGGGGACTGCTATTGTCCCTCTCGGACCCCACCCCCACATATAGCATCACAAACCAGCAACCTGGGTGGCCATGCCCTGGTGAACATCTAAAGCTCCACTCCTTATACCTAACAGGCGTGAACAGAACAAAACATTATGGCTCAATAAGAACTCAAAGCCCCAGATCCCATAACTCTAAGAGACGAAGAAATAGCCAAACTTTCAGATGCACAGTTCAAAACGCTGGTGATCAGGATGCTCACAGAACTGGCTGATTTTAGTCACAAATTAGAGGAACATATGAAGGCTAAAGTAATTGAAATGAAGAGAAATGCACAGGGAACCAATAGTGATGGAAAGGACACTGGGACTCAAATCAATGGAGTGGACAAGAAGAAAGAAAGAAATGACCAAACAGAAAAGGATGAAGAAACAAGAATTCAAAAAAATGAGGAGAGGCTTAGGAACCTCTAGGACATCCTTAAACGTTCCAACATCCGAATTATAGGGGTACCAGAAAGGGGAAGAGGAACAGCCACGAGTGGAAAACTTATTCGAACAAATAATAAAGGAGAATTTCCCCAATCTGGCAAAGGATATAGACTTCCAGGAAATCCACGAAACTCAGAGAGTCCCAGAGAAGGTGGACCCAAAGAGGAATATACCAAGGCACATCATAATTACATTAGCCAAGATTAAAATGAAGGAGAGAATTCTAGAAGCAGCAAGAGATAAGGGGACAGTCACCTACAAAGGACTTCCCATCAGACTGTCAGCTGATTTCTCAAAAGAGACCTTACAGGCAAGAAGGGGCTGGAAAGAGGTATTCCAAGTCATGAAATCCAAAGACCTACAACCAAGATTGCTCTATCCAGCAAAACTTTCATTTAGAATGGAAGGGCAGATAAAGTGCTTCTCGGATAAGATCAAATTCAAGGAGTTCCTCATCACCAAGCCCTTATAATATAAAATGTTAAAGGGACTTATCTAAGAAAAAGAAGATAAAAAAGATGAACAGTGAAAGGACAGCAAACTCACAGTTATTAAGAACCACACCTAAAACAAAAGCAAACTAAGAGGACAGGTAGATCAGGAGCAGAACCATAGAAATGAAGATCACATGGAGGGTTAGCAATAGGGTAGTGGGAGAAGGAGAAGGGGGGAGAAGGTACAGAAAATAAGTAGCATAGACAGTAGGTAGAAAATAGACAGGGGGGAGGGTAAGAATAGTAGGGGAAATATAGAATCTAAAGAACTTGAGATACATGGTCATAAACTAAAGGGGGGGAATGGTGGGGAGGGGATGTGCAGGGTGGAGGGAAATGAAGGAGGGAATAGAACAACTGTAATGGCATAATCAATAAAATATATTTGAAAATAAATAAATAAAATCCCAGACCTCGGATGACAATGTGCTCTGACCTTAAGAAAGGCCTCCTTTTGCTCCAGATGTTTACTGATGAGTGGAATGACGTGGTCGATCTCTGCGGCTGGTCCCAGTTTATCTCGTCCACCACACCAATCCTCATCTCTCCGGTACTCTTGCTCTAAGCTCTCCAGGACACTACAGACCTAATGGATTACGGGAACAAAAAGATTCAGTAAGTCAATCAGTTGGGAAATGTTTTATGAAAACCGTCAGCAGAGAGAATCCTGTATAGCTGCACAATTTTTCATTCGAAGTTCAGTTTGCAGATTTAGGGGAGGCAGTACCCTGCGACATTTGAGAGAAGTGCAGGAGGCAGCGAAATGCATCATCGTCTAGACCTTGGGAGACAGACTGAGACTGAGATACGGATTTTGGAATCATCCTCTGACAGTCAACAGATACAGGCTGACACTACGGGGGCTGACGATGTCACCCAGAGATACTAAGTAATTTTTGAGGCTTTTTAATATATCATATTGATAGAACTTCACAATAATTCTGTGAATTAAGTAGTAGAGGAAAGTGAGGTTTGGAGAAGATACTCAGGTTGCTCAACTGTCTGTAACTGCTCTGTAGGAAGTAGTTTCAAGCAGAGATAAAGAAGGAGGTTGCCTATATATTGTATGACGTATGGTCCATAAACGAACGTCACGTTTCCTCTCCCTGTGAAAAAATATCCCAGCGAGAATGTCTCAGGATACTACCATATGGTGATGACACCTCTATTGCAAAGTACACATTTCCTTCAGAGGGGTAACAAATTTGGGTTAACCTGAAAAAGAGTTAAGGAGCTTTTTCAGTTTGAAAAATGCTGAGAGGCCATCCTCTAAATGACCTTTTAAATGAACTCACAAGACAGCAAAAACAAAAGCATTCATTCAGAGTGGGGCTTGGAGGGAAAGTTAGGTAGCATGTAACTGTAGGAGGCCCAGGGCAGCCTCATGTCAGGGCCCAGGGAAGGATGCAGTAAATAGAAATTCATATTCCTAGACTTCCTTTCAATAGGCTTTGATTACTTGCTTGACTATGGCAGCAGGTGAGAGCAGCCCTAAGTACCTTTGGCCTCCTTAGACTGAGAAAGTTATTTCTTGATGGAGAGTGCGGGGTTGGGTAGGACATTTATTAAGTTATAAACTGAGCTGAAAAATGCCCTAGGTAGGACACCCTCATACCACGTGCTTCTCGTGTAGGAGAGGCCGGTCCCTGAAATCTGGATGACTTCTCTAGCACCACACATCTCTCCTTAGACAAGGCTTGCAAACATGCAGTGTGGCTCGCATCTTCAGAGAAAACATTATAGACATTCAAAAACTCTAAGAAAAAAAGTACTTGATATCTGTCCCATCATAGTATTGGACTTAAAACCAACCAATTTGGAAGCTGAAAAGATTATCAAGCATAACTCCTTTAATTTAATAGGCAGAGAAACAGAAATCTTGAGCTATAAAGTGACCTTTCACAAAGTTACTTTGGGGTCAAAGTTCCTGACTCTTAATCTAGTGCTCTGTCCTCTTCAGTAGTTTGATCCATCTCAAGTTAAAATTTGTGCATGACAGCAAAACAGGGATTAAACCTCATTTTTTATATGAATATTCAGTTGTCCAAAATCATCTGTTTAAAAAACTTTACGTATTAAATTTCTTTGTCAAAAATTAACTGATTGTATATATGCGGGTCTATTTCTGGAACCACTACTCAGTCCCATGAAGGTCTACTCTCACACCCAATACCATCCTGTCTCGATCATGGCAGCTTTAAGGTAAGCCTCAGAGTCAGGTAGTGTAACTCCTTCAACTTTGTTCTTCCTTTCCAAAGTCGTTCTTCTGCATTTCCATATAAATCTTAGGTAATCAGCATATCATTTTTTATTCAAAAATGATTGCTGTGATTTGATTGGGATGGTGCTGAATTTTATAGATCAGTTGGGGAGCTCTTTATCATCTCTGTCTGCTGCCCCCACTCCTGTGGCCATCGAAGGCGTCGTCTCCCTGAAACAGCAGGAAGGACTGAGAGGAGGTGTGGAGACCAGGACACGGCTGCAGGGCCCTCTGACAGACATGCTGGATTTGCTCCTCAACACTTTCCCATGGTTCCTCTAGGCAACGGAGAAGAGAATGTTTCTCTGATCTATTTCTATTAGGGAGCAATTGGAATGAGGAAAAATGTTTTGCATTGAATAAAATCACTTCAGTTTTAAACCTCTATTTTATGGGAAAAATTCCCTAACATTACAAAACACAAATCATTAAAAAACCCACTTAGCTTTTGTGCATATTGCTGTACAGGTGCAATAGTAATGGGTCTGCATCTTTATGGCCCTGCTGTGTATATTTCCTGCCTTTTCTCCCACAGTGACACCATCCCACAGGTTAGGCTCATAGTTCTCCAATGGCAGAGAGATGTGTTTCCTCCATGAGACTGGGAGCCCCATGAGTGAAAGAACTGTAAGTTTTTCAAGCAATGCATAGTACCTGGTTGCAGTACATTAGATCATGTTCAGCAAATTGTTACTCTCCTCTCCCAGCTTCCAAAGGAAGGTTAGCTAAATGTCTTCTTTTGGCCCAAAGGTTGTTAGAGCACGTAACACAGCAGAGACTTGACACGCACTTTGACAACAGATTTTGAGCTCCTGCACTCCTGCCTTTCACTCTGAATGTGCCTCAAGTAGCTGCTGGTCAAAGAGGGTGAGAGACATGGGGACAGATCTAATCCCATCTGCAGCCTGGAGCCTGTTCTACCAAGCTCAGCCATGACCACCTGAGCTCCAGATACTTAAGCAAAAAACACGAATGCTTACTGTTGTATGCCACTGAGTTTTTGGGTGATTTGTTACACAGCTTTACTGGGGCAAGAGCTGACTGCTACACCACTCCACCCTAGCATTCAGTATACACCTGCCCAATTTCTATTTCAACAGCTAGATCCAATAAGTTTGAGAAATGTATAAGAAAAAAAATCACATGGCCCATTTCTCTAGTGGAAAGCATTATAAGGAAGCCAAGCACGGTGCTTCCACAAGCCATTCTTCTCCTCTCAAAGGTCTGTACTGAGAGGACTGGCTTCTTGTGGGAGACACTGCAGATTAGCAGTGTGAGGCAGAGAATAATCCTCCACCAATCTCAGCCTCACACATCACACAGTCCTTTCTCTCACCTGTTCAGAAGTTTTGTAAAAGGCCACAGAGGCGTTGACCAGTTTTAGCCGGTCTTCCATCTTCAGCATGAGCTGCTGCCAGTGGAGGGCCACCTTCTCGGCACAGTCCCGGATGGCGTCTGCGTCATAGTGGCCAGCCTGGAGCAGCGCCTCCGCCTTCTGCTGCACCTGCAGGGCACTCTGGTGCGTCTTCTGCAAGGAAGTGGCATGAAAGAGGGACTGGGCACAAGGGGAGGAGAGAAAGGTCCATGGGAACGACCCAGGCGTGGTATGGGAGGGGGTGGAGTGAGGCGTGAGTGGGAAGATGCAGAAAAGTTAAAGAGTTTTAAATGACTGATTCAAGCATTTTGTCATGATGACTAACACATCATTGTTTTAAAAGCATATATTAAAAAAAGAATATCATACATTTTCATGAACTAATCGCTTAGGTCTGTAACTCCTATTCCCCACCCCTTTCTCTTCTACTTATACCGCACTGGGTCTTAAAGACATTTCAGTGTCTATGGCAGGAAAATAATGATTGTGTATAATCCGATTAGTTCATACATTAGTTAAATTTCCTTTTCAAATCTAATCATAAAATTGTTCATCATAACACATTTTCAAAGGAGGTTACTGCTGCAGTCCTATTTTACAGATCAAATAAACAGCACATAAAAAGTCCCTGTAACACAAATCTGAGCCGACAATGCAATCATTTTAGACATTAACAATCAGTTGGAAAGGATTCCAGTAGAAGAAGTAAACTTGTGCGAGAAGAGTAGCATCTCACACTACCCCTTAGTAACCTCACCAGGGGAACAGAGCAGTGCAGCAGACAGATCGGCTCAACACACAGTATCCGCATTACTGCATTGTTTGCATTTGCCTTTAGGAGTCTATGTACAGGGCCCAGCAGAAGTAATGCCTGCTTGAGTGTGGGTGGTAGGTTGAGTGTGGTTGAATGTCTCGCAGCAGATGGACAGCAATTTGAACATTTCACCTAAAATGTCATATGGTATGCTTGAGTGTGATATGTTGCAAAAAAAAGTATATTTAATTTTTCAAATATTTGGGTATTTTCTAGTTAAGTTATTGGTATCGATTTTTAATTTGATATGTTGTGATCATAGAACATACTTTTTGTGATTTCAAGACTTTGATTTCTTTGAAACATTTCATGACTGAGCACTTGAAAAGAATTTTGCTGTGTATCGAAAAAAAAAGAATTACATGCTTATGATTTTATAATAAAAGATTTTGCAATAAGAAAGAGGCATTATTTGTGCCAGACCCTGTACATCATAGGAGGCTTATTTTCTTATTCAGGCTCGATATGGTTTGCAGCCTCTGAGTTTACACTAACTGTAGACGATGGGGAGACCAGGCTGGAGGACTGGGTAGCAGGGAGAGAGACAACTGGGATTGAAATTGATTAAAATGAAAGACTGTTGTGGACGAGCCATAGGACTTTAAAGAGCTAATATTATCCCAGCCTCCACTGCTGGGATCATTTCAACCCAATGGCACAGTACAAATTTGGCCTTTGCACTTTTAGGAAAGAATAGCTCAGCTGGCAGTGAAAACGAGCAGCTGGAAGCCCAGTAACTTACTCTAGAATTATTTCGTCTCTTCTTCTTAGGCAGCAGTGCCGGGACAGTTCCCAAGAGCACAGCCATTCCTCACTTCCTGTGTGCCAGTACACCTCCCTCCTTTCACCTCTACTTCCCCCTCCCCCTCATCCCAGATGGCAATCCACACAGTCCTAGTTATTTTTCCGTCTCTCAACCACCTCTTGGCTTCCCTTCCCTGTCGCCTGAATCTGTACCCAGTGTTAGGTATGTTAACACCACCTCTAGCAGTTTAGACTCCTCCATTCCCTTGCTTTGCCACTGAGTCAGCCTTCAATCCTGATGACCACATCAGCATGCGGGTTCCTACACAGCTGGAAAAAGTAAACTAATGGGCAGAAACGACCCACAATAAACCCCTGGTTTCTTTCTCCGGTTTACTTATTGGCAGCATCTTCTTTTCCTGTCTCCTAAATGCAGAGGTACTCCAAGACCCATTCCCTAGTTGTTTCTTTTTTAAAAACTTCTGCAGAGCTCCCATTATTTCCTTGACTTCTATTATTTCCTCTTCATAAATGACTCCCCGGTCCACATCTCTCACCCCGACACCTGACCCTTATCTTTAACTGTGTTTGGATGTAAGGGTAAGCTGTCTGTCGCACCTCTCACCCAGGTCAGCAGCACCGGTTCAGTTCCATCTGTCTGCCCATGCCAGTCAGCCAGACATCCCCACAAGTTCCGCATCTAAAACTAAACTCCTCCAGCCTCTGAAACAGCATTCCCACAGCGGTTTACTGTTCCGTTGATGGTGTCCTCCTCGCTGCCACCCCACATTACAACCTCATCATAATTCTTGCCTGCTGTTCCTCACCCTGAACCCCAGCCCAGTCCCCTCACTTCCTGTCTAGACTGCTGTGCTGGTCACCTGCCTAGTATTCCTGCTTTCCATTTCTAACCCATTCAACCTGTCCCTTACATTGAGGGCAGACTAATTTTCTGTTACAGGAAGTGACTTCTAATGTCCTCTCCAGCTCTGAAACTCTGACTTTATGCTATAAACATCTCTCCCTTCTTTCAATTCAAAAGCCTTCAGTAGTTCCCTGATTGCTACGAAATTAAGCCCAAACTTCAGAGCATGTTATTAAAAGCCTCTCATAAAAGGGTCCTAACTACTTTCATACCATTATTACCTACTATTTACACACAAAATACTTTGAAAACACACCAGACACTCTTGTTGTTGCTGCCTTCACTCTTCCTGCCTTTAATGAACACCCCTCAGCCTCTCCCCACTTAGGGTCCAGTCACCCTTTGAGACGCAGCTCAAGTCCCACCTCCTTCAAAGAGGCCTTTTCGGACAGCCTGAGTCTCACTACAAACCTCCCTTTTCTGAACTGCAGCGTCACCTAACACATGGCTGACTCTCCTTACCTAGACTGTGAAACTCTCAGGCAAGGACTACTTTTTAAAAATCACTTGAACAGCTGTCATTTTACCAAGTATATGCTGTGTGCTAGGCACTGTGCTTAATGCATATTTTTTTTCTAGTTCTCATGGCACTACTACAAGGTAAATGTTGCTATTCCCACTTCACAGATTAAGAAACTGAGGCTGAGGCTGGTGGAGTGACTTGCCCAAAAACGTATAACCAAGGAAGTGATAAAACCAAGAATAAGATTTAGGTTTAATCTATCCCCGAACCTATGTCTTTTCCACTAGATCACACCACACTGCTTGATGTCTAGCAATTGGAACAGGATCTCCAGTGTCTCATTTAGAGGAAGAGTTAACCAAATGAACATTTAGTGATTACAAAAATTACTGGGCTTCTCCTCAATATATGAAACTAGCATATCATTGTCATCACAAACCTGTTATAATGTCTTTTTCTCTGACAGTGTAGGGGTAATTTTAATTTTCCTATAATTTATGCTGTGTAATAAATTCTCTTCTTTATTCAAAAACTCACTATAATCTAATAGTCCTGGGAACCCCTTCCTCCTTCAACTTCCAAAATGATAAACTCTTATGCACATGACGTATGACATAATCTTTGCACTGCTGGGTTTGAATGATTATTTTGCACTTATTTCTGCTCTTTATCTCATCCTGTTGAGTGCTATATCTTTCAGATATGGATCAAAGATGCTAATATTTAGTAGCAAAACATGGGAGAAAATTGAACCAAATCAACTGAATTTATTGTCCAGTTATAACTACTAGATAACTATTAATTAACTATTTTTGCCATAATGTTTAGGCTTAAAATGCATAAAAGGATTTCAAATAAACATGAAATTTAAAATTGAATTTGTTTCTATGATGTTCACAGTTCTTGAAGACATACCAGCCACAACATCAGCCACTAACAAATAATCATCTGAGTTTGGTGATAAAGCTATGCTTTTGGGTGTTGTACATTACTATTCTGCATTCCGCATGGCTCTGGGGGATTTCCTGAAGCCAAGCCTTCTTCAGGTAAAAATTCTGAACTTCTTTTGTGAGACCAAAATCTTCAAACTGATGAGGCCACCCATGCTAGGGTGAGCAAATCCTGCTTCACCCATGACAGTTCTAGTATGTGCCTATTTTTTTGGCTTAGTTATGAATAATTCCCTCCTTCGTTCTTAAAAGTTCCTCTATTTTAGTAATAAATTATATGATCACCTTACCTATAGCTATTTTATTTTCCCTTCTGAAACCCAGGGCTCTTTCTTAGGGCCCAAGAAGTCAAATTATGTTTCCCATCATTAGACATTGTGATGGTCTCCAGTAACTGTCAGAATGGGTTAAGCCAAACCAGACTAGGTAGATCTGCTTTTGAGTTGCTTAAATCATCCCTGATATATAACACCCCCCTACAGAACCTGATGCATTTAGAGAGAAGCACAAGGCCGCCTGAAGAGGAACGTATGTTGAAATTCTCAGTCTGTTCTCTTCATTATTCTGGCAGACCCTGCCCACCTTGCGTTCCCAAGATCCTTCAGCAACCCTATCTGCTCTGCCATGTTCTCCTGAAACCATAGACATGAACTCTGTAGGGACCTCTGCCTCAATATCAATTCTGAGAATATTTGATCAAGTTGCATTCAGGCAAGTAAGAGACATCGATGCTTAGTGAGCCTCTATTCTTTAAGGATGCCATAGCATCTAATACAAATTAATACATGCTGCCTATGCAAGTCATGTGAAACTTAGTCATTTTGATAGCACTGCAAATGCATTTACTCGCTACTTTTCACTAGCTCGCTGAGATACTCAAGAGCATCGTGACACTTAGTGATACTTTCCCAAAATGTGATTAGGGACTGAAAATTTAATTACCTCCCAGGCATATAAACCTTCACATTCAAGATAAACAAGGAGGCAGTGTGGCCAAGAGCTGTGCGCTCTCTCTGCCTGGCACCCCTCACAGCTGCACGCCCCCACTCTGGCCTGACTGACAAACCTTAGGTCTCTTCACTGCTGCCTCTCTGGGGCGCCTTGGCCACTGTGAGCCCGACTCTTGATTGTAACCCCACTGCTGATTTTTCCTTTACAGCGAGTAGGTCCCAACATGCTCGTGTTTGAGCAAGCACGCCAGCAAAATGCAGGAAGGACAGCTAATGACAGATAACACAACTCCTCTCCTCTGGTTAGTTCTTCCTTCCACAATTATTTATATTGTGTGGGCAGTATACAGCATCTTTTAAAATCTTAAGTCCCAGACAGTATCCTAAGCAGTGGTTCCTTAGAGGGTACCAGAAATCTTACAGAAACAAGTCATTCATGTTCCTGCCATGCTCACACATAGAAGATGCCTTCTGGAAAATTAAATGGTTCAAATCAACCAATGCTAGTTCAAAAATGACTAGCAATCAGTTGGATTGCTGTGTTAGACATAAACTTATTGGCATAGATAGTTAAAATTTATCATTGTTGTAGAAAATTCTCATTAACAATAATTTTTCGTAGAAGATAACACCTCTACACACTCAGGAGTGGCCTGGGTTTTGTACTGAAACACAAGTAATGAATGTCCTTGAACTTCTCACTCTTTATCTCTTTTCCCATTGGTACTGAACTTATTTTATTTTTAATACCATCCCCATGTCCCATTTCCTACTCTTCCCCCCACACCATCCTAAAGCAATTAGTTCAAGTCTCTTTGGGGAGGATAATGTTCTAGCAGAGAAGATAATTGAAGGTATTATTTAAAGCAAGATAAAACTTATATTAAATTATCATAAGCGGAGTTTTATTTAAAAGAGCCTTAAAACAGCAGCACTGAACAACTGTTCTCAGTGAAGCAAACCATCCAGTGCGATCTGCTCCTGTGATCACTGTTAAAAGGCAGAATCCGACAATGGTGTCTAAGTGTTACCTGTAAACTAAATATTTAAAAATGGAATCCTTACTCGCTAATGACTTTTGTACTTTTTTATCCTCAATTCTGTGTGATTTTTACATTTCTAACATGGTGCTTAGTCCATAATGCATATAAAACTCAACACACCAAGGCCATGAAGGTTAAGGGTAAGAAAAGAAAATCCACATTGTTAGTGTGAGTACTTGGCTTCTAATACCAGGCCTCCTTGGGGTGACGAAGCCTGCATTGACTTGTCTATCAATTCCTGGGCAGTAGGGAGGCTGCCTGGACCATTTCACTAGAAAGAGTAAGGAACACCCACAACTGGAAGAATCCTCCTGCTCGAACCGCAGAGCAGAAGGGGGAAGGGAGGGCAGCGTAGCCAGATTTGGGTGTTACCTCGATGGCCAGCTGGAACTGCTCGTGCTCCCGCTGCAGCTGCTCTGCTTCGGACAAAGAGCTGGCATTGACCAGGCTGGCGTTGAGCATCGACTCCCCATTGCGGATCCATCCCAGGACCTGGGGAATTGGAACAAGAACACAGATGAATGGCCTTCGCAGCTTCCCCAGAGCTGTTGCCTTCTCTCATGGGCCCTTTCACCACAGAGTGTGCTATCTTCTTCCTCCAGTTGGAGAGCGGCCAGGATGGGTCTGGGTAATTAAAATGGTCACCTTCCTAATCTTACCTGGCACCCTGTGCCCTAAGGTACTTACTTTAAGGACCAACTTCATTCCCAGCTTCATATATTCTTTCCCTACCCTTATTATCCTTCTGTCCCAATGTCCTCACCCACTTAATTTAAACATCAATTTATCTGATTGCATTGTATGTGTGTTTCTGAAGTTCCTTCTGGAACACAGAATAGTACAAATAAATACATTTCCTCTGTTGGTACCCTTTTCTTTCCTTTTGTTTTTTAAGGCCCGGATATTAATAACTTCTTGAAATCTGCTACATCTAATCACACCCATTAGAAACAATGTCTTTGTCATGTAGCACGACCATATCACGTTGCATTTACCACCGTTGTGGCCCTCACCACAGACGGCCGCCGGTCAGTTGTTTTGACCTGTTTCACTTCCTCCCTCAGACTGTAAACTTCCAGAGAAGCAGGGTATCAGATTAGTCACATTTTCATCTCTTAAAGTACCTTGCATATGGTGGGTGTGCAGTGATGGTTTTGGAAGAGTAAGTGATTATCTAGGACGAACATTTAGTCACATCTAAGCAGTGGGTCCAACCGCCTATGCCTTGCAAAATAGCCCAGAGAAGAGAGGCTTGAGCTTTGGTATGTAAGCAACCCAAAGGCAGGAGGAAAGAGACAAAATAAGCAAAATAGCATAAAAAGATCCATATACTGGGTCACCAGAAAAGGAGAGAGTAAGTTAAAAATGATTTAAATTATATAGAGGCCATGACTAGGCTGGGTAAAATTTGCAGGTGACCTTAGTACTCAGCTAGAAACTATCAGAATAGAAGGAGAAATAGCTGACACTGCCTAGAAGGTCCTAGGTGTAGTGGACACGCGGCGATTCTCCAGCTAATAGAGTTGGTGCGAACAATCAAACTAGAAGAATTAGGCCTTGAAAATCTACCTTGTGTCTGGTCACCAAAAAATTGCCAAATATTTTCTTTATTAGTAAATCTGAGAGCTTTATTGGAGAAGAAAATGCTTTTGAAGTTTCAAGATCAGTAAATACCGTGCATCTGTTACTTCAACATAAACAGAAGTCACCTCAATCTGTTTCAGAATTATTTTTCCCTCCTCCCAACTTCATGTTAAATAATTAGAAAAGCACCAATCCTGGACTCTTATGCCATAACCCTCACAGGCATTTTGCATATTTCCTCCTTGGGCAGTAGAGGACTGGGGCCATGCTGCGCATGGATAACACTGGGGCAGACATCCCACGGAAGCCGGGCTATCTGGACTGAGAGGTTGATTCATGGCCAGTCTGGCAGACCGTGGATGAGGTGCCAATCTGCACAGCAATTAGTTGCAGGAAATAACTGCTCAGAGTGCATGTGTGAAATCTCGGATGCCACCGGTGTCTGGTGGCTGGCTGGCTAGTGGTGCTAATGATTTCCAAAAGGTGCCTGCAGCTTTGGGTACATGCACACATGGATCACATGTCTAAAATGCTTTAACTCTTCGCAAAATGGAACGCACAATGTATATTTTGAACTAAGCAAGTCCTTTGCATGGATTCATTGCATTTTACTTCAGTCTCTACCTCTTTCATTAATTCATGCTGAATTCTTGACATTTTGTTCATTTTTATTGTCCAAATGCACTGCAGGACTTTAAAATGGCAGATTTGATTTTAGGAAGATTAAAAAATGCACGGCAGTTTATATCCATGCCTTGGGTTCAGCAGTGGCACTGATCCCTGATCACATTTGTCCTAGAAGCAGAACTGGGATAGTGTAGAAAGGGTACAAAATCTTAAAGTCAGAACACCTGGCTTTGTTCTACCAGGCAAAACCATTTAACCCTTCTGCGCCTCAGTTTTCTCATCTGTAAATTTAGGGTAATGGTCCCTTCACTTTCAGTATCAGTCTTGATGCAATGTACTATAATACGTATAGCAGGATGCTGGCGGTGGTGGTGATTTTTAGTTTTTGAGCAAAGCTAGGTAATGCTATGGCTCTTCATTTGTACCTCTCATGATGAGAAAAGAAAAAGTCTAGGAATATTAATTTTTGTCCCAGTACTTGTATTCTGGGCCTCCTGATGTTATGTAGGTACTGTAGCTATTTTGTTATAATTTTTTGTACTCTCATTAATGACAACTCTTGTTGGTATAGTTTTCTGTTACTGTAGTCCTTTGTCTTCCTAGTTCAGAAAGTTGGCTATTTATTCTTCATAAGCATCTACTTTGCAAATGAGTGCAAAGTAGAAGGAATATTGTAATAGAAATGAGAAAATGTTGGACCTACTAATCTTGAGCAGTTTGACTTTGGAAACATTTCCTCTCTCTGAAGCTCAGTTTTCTTTTCTGTAAAATGGTAACAATTTTCTTGCCCAAGTCGCAGGGTTAAGAAGATGAAATGAAATAACTAATGTAAAAGTATTTGCACACCATAAGATGTAATCTGTCAGATTAATATTTTATGTTGATCAGTCATTGAGAGAACAGTTTACCTACAGGTTAGATGCTCTTTGAAAGTCACTGTGAGCCCTAATATTCTATACTTCTTTCGAAATTCAGAGACATGGGATACTGGACAAAATTAACTTTGTAGAAATAAGGAAATGAAAAAGTATTGCTGCTTTGGGACTTAGAGCGAGGCCACGAATTCAGTTCAGTCAGACCTGGGAGGGGGAAAGGAAAATGGAGACCTTAGTCCAAGGAAGCTTGGATAACCCTGGGTTAAGAGAAGGCTGGACTTAGGTAACTATAAGTGGGAGCCCACACATAACTTAGGTGGATGTCCATCTAAGCAGAGTGAACCCTGTCCCCATGTAGGCTGAGGAAGCAGCTTGTATATGGCTATATTCTCTAGATAATATCAACAACAAATCTCTAAGGTTGCACTCAAAGCCACTGAGTCTAAGGTTTCTACTGCAGAAAACATTACAAGGCATAGCCATTTTCTGCCATTCCAACCACAGGAAAACCCATCAGCCCCTCAGATGGTAACTGGGAGCTTCTCATGTTTTCAATGTCTTTTAGGGATTTTTTAAAAGGTTTTATTTGGTTATTTTTGGAGGAGGGGAAGAGAGGGAGAAAGAGAGGGAGAGAAACATCAGTGTGCGGTTGCCTCTCATGCAGCCCTCACTAGGCACCTGGCCTGCAACTCAGGTGTGTGCCCTGACTGGGAATCGAACTGGCTACCCTTTGGTTCATAGCCTGTGCTCAATCCACTGAGCTACACCAGCCAGGGTCAGTGTCTTCTAGTTTTAAAAATTCAAGGTTTTTGAGACTGTATGGATTCACCCATCATAGTTTTATAAATTGTGACCACATGCCTTCTTCATTATCTCCATTTTGAAACAAATGATTAATACTTGTCCCTTTGGTTGCCTCTCTTTTGGATCTCTCCCAACTCCTTTCTACGTTTTATGTACAGTGAACCCAACTGAACACAGTATTCTTGACGAGAATATGAGGGCAGGATAATCTCTTCTCCTTTGTTTTGATGTCCATCTTGATCATATGCAAATTCTGGCCAGTGTTTGGTCCACAGGGCTAATTTTGTCAACATCTTTAGTAAAAAATATGTGTGATTTCTTTCCCCATAGCTGAGAGCCCCCAAATCTTATAAATCCATTTTGACCTATTTTCTGCCAAATGCCCTGCTCTGTAGGAATATATATGGAAATTCGTTTAGTTTTATGCCCATTAAATAGGTTTTTCAAATCTTCCTGAATTATCTAATAAATGTGAGGTCATTCTTACCTGAGTAGCAATTTTTCTGCAAAGCAATCAGCATTCTATGGGATTTGGGGAACAATCTGAACTATTTTTCTAGAAGAAAAGGGACATCTGGGTGGTCCTGGACCATGGATTATAATCAAGAGAGTGGTTTCCCTTCAAGATTCAACATTTTCCTGGAAGTAAGTAGGCCATTTATCTTAGATACAAAGTCCTAAGTAATCCCTCAGGAAAAAAAACAAAAACAGTTGCATCGATTTTCTTTGTTCTTAACACTTGAAAATAATTTTCAGTTGAATGTCTGTGGCATCACCACTCCTCAAAGGCTCAGTTTCATGTAACTGTGATGTAATGATTTATGGTTATGATGGCCAAGCATAAACCTCCAATCTATGAGAGCTCTGACAGCAGAGCTGTATGTATAACCGCTGTTATCCTCTCCCTCTCTGTCCCCATTACTGATATTTCAATTAAATGTCCTATTCGTTTCTTTTTTGAGAGTATATTCAAAAGAGAAACTCAAGCTGGTGTCTAAATTTAGCCCCTGATCAATACTGACATCTAAATTAACTCCCTCTTTCCAAGTGTCAACAGCGTCCAAGTCAATACTTCCCGCTCCACCAACTTCCATCAAACACAGATGCCTTCTCTAAAACTGGATTAGACAACTCTCTAAAGAAAGAGTCTTACACTGACGGCGAAAACAAGTCTGTCTAATGAGGCGTGGTGGCTTAACCGAGCAGCAGTCCCTTGTCGTCCCCAAGGGCCACTGTCCTTTGCAAAGGCCTTCCCAGTTTTCCTAACGTCTGACTCTAGCAATCCAGTACCATTTTGAACTACAATACCACTGTGTGGTAGGGAGAAGGAATTTTCCCACCCCTGTAGAAGAATTCCTTTTTTTGTTCTCCAACTCATGAAATATTGAATGGAAATGTATACAAATATTAGTCATGCCTGAATTATTCATAAAGAGATGTTTTACTGTCCCATCTGACAAACTACGTATCATCATCCCAGCTCCCCATTCCATTCAGAATATACACTTGGAGGATGACCACTTATTTCTATTTTCATATCAGTCAAAAAAACATAATCGGTGTTGGCTCTACTACTAATGCTGGAGCAAAAAAGTAAATAAATAAAATAAAAAACCAAGAACAGAAGCAAAAGTATATATTCATTTCAAAGTCAAACAGGGATAATTTTCATGTTATCTGCTTTGTTCGGATGACTGCCCACGCCACTGTCCACTGGCAGAAACAGCTGAGCACGGAGAGTGGAGGGAAACTCCTGTGACCTCTGGAGCCCGCTGACGACTGGGCGGGTGCCACCCTCGCTGCCAGGTGTAAACTGCACCTGCCTATCTACTCAGATGTACTGCTTCAGAGGCCAAGAAAGTCCCAGACTGAATTGTGCTGGAAGGCTTCTTTTTCTTCCAAAAACCCAGGGTGGGAGTGGGGCTTTGAAGAGGCAAATTATAGGACCTTGGATTTAAAAGGCCTGGGCTCAAGTCTCAGCTTGAGTTAGTCAGGAGGCCCAGCAAGCACTAATCCTCTGATACCTCAGTTTCCTCATTTGTAAAGTAAACACACACCACTCCCCACCCCTTGCTTGTTCTAAAATGAGATCACAAATGAGGAAGTACTTCTATGAAAAGAAAGTACTATCACTACTGCCAAGAGTTTCAGATTTGTGTGCTCGTCACGGCTCTGGGGCTGCCAGGATTTGTACCACGTCTCCATGAACAATATTTTTCTCCAGAGATTCAGATGTGATCCCAGTGTGATGAAACAGAAAACGACTTGGATGGCAGTGCTGTGGTCTGGTCCTGCCTGGGGCTCACTGGTGAATCTTTAAGCATGTTTGGGCTGTGGCCGAGCCATGGTTGTAGGAGAAGAGGAGCAGAGAAGTTTTTTTGCCCATTATAGTAAACAACAATGTAATGACTGAAAGAGGCATTAGCAAGAAATGTCCTGACAATAAGGGACCGAGCAATAATTAAATCAAATATGATGTTTCTGTTCCCTGGGGTAAATTAATAGACTTAAATCTAAAAGATCTAGCAGTTACTGCACATAATAAAAAAAAATCTGTAGCTTAGAAAAAATCTTCACCTGGGCATATGTTCATTGATTTTAGAGAAGAGGGAAGAAGGTAGGGGAGACACATACAGAGAGAGAGAGAGAGAGAGAGAGAAACACTGATGTGAGAAAAACACTGATTGGTTGCCTCCCGTACACACTCCAACTGGGCATTGAACTTGCAACCTGGGCATGTGCCCTGACTGGGAATTGAACCCACAACCTTTTGGTGCATGGGACGACACTCCAACCAACTGAGCCACCTGGCCAGGGCTGTAATATTTTTTGTTGTAGCATTGGTTATTGTTATGTCCCTAGAGATTCCTAGAGATCTGGGTATGTCTTTAGAAAAATACCAAGTATAATATCTCATATAGATAAGAACTTTTTTCCTTTTTAAAGTTTACTTTAATATGATAAGAAAAATTTATCAGAACCACACACACACTGAAACAAGTGATAGCAACTGCTACCACTTATTGACTATGAGCTATGTGTCAGGTATTGCACTAGACACGCAGATGCCTCAAATTAATCAACCCAGCTCTGAAGGCTTAGTATATTTATTGATAAAGGATATGTGTTTCTCATGACCTGTATGCCAGGACTGAGGGCACAAAGGAAAAAAAAAATACTGGGGATAACTTGGGAATGCGCTCCTTAGATTGTTATGAAAGAGAAATTTTGCATTTGTTGTTTGAGCTATTGTACCATTAGGTCTGTTTGTTAGGTCCAATAGATGGCAGCCTAGCTTTCAGAAACAAATACACCCATTCCTTAACTTACCTATTTCTAAGGTCTGTGTACACCTATGGCTGATCCAGCCCAAGTAGGAAGCCCGAGTTGAGGTGGGAGAGCCAGGCTCACCTGTTTGACCTCGGCCTGGAGGTGCCGCAGTTGGAGGCACTGCTCCAGCCGCTTGTGGGTCTGCTCTGCGTTCAACTCCAGTTCGTGCTGCTTCTCGTGCAGAAACTCCAGCAGCTCTTGCACCTGGGCTGCCAGATCGATGTCCTTCTCACAGATTAACTCAATTCCTAAGTTAGAAAAATAAACGATTAAAGACCAGGTAGTACTGCCAAGACCACATTTCATTCACTATGCATATGAAAGCTGGAATTTAGAAATAGCTGTTTCAGTACTCTCCCACCCTCTGCAATATTTCTCTGTGGAATTGGACAGATTGCCATAACTGGCTTTTTTGGGGATGCTCAAACATGCCATCTCTTTTGCCTGGGAATAACGTTCCAATAGATGATCAGCTTCTTATTATTGACTGGATTTAGGGAGAGGTGCTCCCTGTAAGCCAGTCCCCAGACAAGACAGCACTCAGCAGTCTCTGATAGGGCATTCGCCAGAATATTCACAAATCAGCCTCTGAATCATATTGGAAAATACAAAACAAGGCCAAGAAAGGCTCTGTCTCAGAACTTCTGCCCAAGGCACACTCTCATTAGCTGATCACATGGGGAGACCACCAATCTCAAGGTACGGCCACCTGAAAATGAAATCCTCTTTGGGAGGCTTGCCCACTGCTCTTCCCGAACCACCAGAAATCATCACTGCCTCCACCAGTACACCTGCGGAATACAGTCAGGACATCTGTACACGCGAAAGGAAATTCATTTCTACGGAGGCAAAAATAGTGCTTTACATAAGGACAATATGGGAGAGTAGGGAAAAAATTTTCTGGTGTTATATGGTAATAATTTCAGTATCTTTTCATGTTTATTTTTTGTCAGTTTCATAATTCCAAGTCCTAGCTCCTGAAATATCTGTGGGAAACAGAAAAGAACGGCTTGTTCTTTTGGCAGTCAACTCCTTCCACTTACTATTTTCAGTTACCAGGAGGATGAGGTAGAACATCTCCTTGACTGAAATAGACAGTAAGAAGGAATACAAAAATTTCTACCTCTGCAATGCTCAGCCAAGTGGCATGACCCTTGACCCCCATGTTTACTTTTACTTTCTAAAAACCTAATTAAACTTCACCTGCAGCCCTGGTCAGGTGGCTCAGTTGGTTGGAGCGTTGTCTGTGCACCCACAGGTTGCAGGTTTGATCTGCGTGTGATCAGAACGCACACCTAGGCTGCACGGTCAATCCCTGGTCAGGGCGCAGACTGGAGCCAACAGATCCCTCTTTCCCTCTTTGGCTTTCTCTCTCTCCCTCCCCTTCCTCCCCCCATAAAATCAATAAACATATCTGTGGGTTAGTATTTTTTAAAAAAACCCATCTGCAGAAGTAGGTGCTCTTCCTTGCTTCCAGCCACAATGCAGATGCTTTTCCAGCTCATTTTCATTCTGCACGTGTCTCTGGTGCTTAGTATGCTGGGCTCGGGCAAAGTGTCTTCCTGTGGGAAACTTACGGCTTGCTGCATGTAAATAGGCTCTCTAAGCCTAGTAACTCATCAAAGAGGCCATCCCCCTGCTTAGGACATCGTCCAGGAGAGGCTTGCAGCCTGCCCCGAGGCAAGCCCTACATTTTCATCTACCTTGCTTGAGCCTGTTTTATGAGACAGACACAGAAAACAGAATGGGTGAGGATGACGCCTCTACAGCCCTCAACAGTGTATGGTGTTGTGGATGGAGAATAAGAAAAGCATGATGACCTACTGCAGCTACACCTAGAAGAACACAAAGTCACCCCTCTCTCCCACTGCCCCCTACACATTGACATGAGTCCCAGTTAAACCCCATCAATTGGTATATGTCCACCAATCAACAGCAAATAAAGCTTTCTTGTGCTGACATTACTCCTCTTGATCTAATCATCGGCTTAAATATTATCCTCAGAGGATCTCAGAAATGCAACAAGAATGTTTGTTCAACCCTGGTTGGTTTGGCTCAGTTGGTTGGATCATCACTGCCTACACCAAAAGGTTGGGGGTTCGATTCCCAGTCAGGGCATATATGGGAGGCTACCAATCGATGCTTCTCTCTTACATCCATGTTTCTCTCTCTAAAATCAATAAATATTTTTTATAGGAGAATGTTTGTTCTTTGCATCAAGTAGTGCAATATATTTGTAATAAAATAGCTTGTCAGTCTCCTTAATGAAACGTTGTACTCAAGTTTCTTTCTGATGTGCTCCCACAATGTTCCCTACCCATCCCTCCGTCAGGACACTTCCACTGAGGTTGTTCCTTGTAACTGGTGTGTTCTCTCAGGAATGCATACACATGGGCACTAGGTCCGTGTCTGTCTTATGCTTCTCTGCATCTTTAGGATCCAGCACAGGGCTTGACTCGTAACACCCAATAAATACCTGCACAGTGAACACATGGGATGCTTTAGGGAGGAGCTCAGGTCATGTGCTGTGGTGGAAAGTACCTGGGAGCTCTGGGGAAGGACACATGTAACTTTGAATCCCTGGTCTGCAACCTATTAATGGTGAGCCTCTAGGCTCAGTATCCTCTCAGAGACTGGGTACAATGGGAATCCTAAGAAAGACATTTAGGGGTGTCATGAAGACTAGGAGATAAAGTATATATAGTATGTGGCATTTTGCTGGCTTAAAAAATATCCTTCTCCCCACTTTTTCTTTCCCTTGGGAAAATGATATAGTCACTACTGATTACTGACTGATGGGAGTATTGAATGCCTTGTATAAAATGTAAATATAAAATCTTATCCTCAGGTGTTTATATATTGGGTTGACCAAAAAGTCTTAGTTTTTTCCATACAATGAAAGACACATTTTTCATTCCACCAATGACTTGATTGACTTGGATATTTTGAGTATGTGGGCTCTCTCCCACATGGTATAACATTGATTGTTCTCAATTAATGTCTTGATTTGATCGCTATCAACTTCAACTGGTCCACCTGACCATGGAGCATCATCCAGAGAGAAATCTCAAGCATGAAACTTCATAAACCACTTTTGACATGTTTCATCAGTCACAGCACCTTCTCCACACACTGCACAAATCCTTTTTTTTTTTTTGCATTTCAGTTGTGTTTTTTACCTTTCTTGAGATAATAAAACATAATATGCCAAAAATGTTTCTTATTTTCTTTTATATTCAATATTAATATGGCTTCCCAATTCACCAATTTTGATAAGTTTTAAAAAATGCATGTTGATATGACAGCTGTCACAAAATAATCTAACAAAATTGTTTTGAATGAAGTTAAAGACAGCTCCGGCCATCTTATGAAAAAAACCAAATGGACTTTTTGTCGAACCCAATCCTTGCTCGAGGTATCCTGTTAGAAACTGTGGTGGTTTGGATGCTGTGAGACCTGTGCTCTCACCTTGGCTCACATTAGATTCATCTGGAAAACTTCAAAAAACCTCTGTGTCCTGGCTACAGCCCAGACCAAGGACACCAGAGTCTCTGGGGGTGGGGCCCAGACATCAGTAAGTATTCAAGTTCCCGGATGATTCCAACACAAAAACAAGACTGGAAACCACTGAGTAAGATGGTACGACTGCCAGCAACCAGGGGGCAGAGACAGTCCTTCCGATATACTCAGCTACTAGAATGTTTGGCACTGTGTTTATCTGGGGCTCAAGGCCACAGCTAAAAATAAGATCTTGCTTTGCTTTCCTTTGCTGTCAGGTTGAGGGAATCACTTCAATTTCCTTAAGGAGAGCTGACTATGGTCTAGGGTGAGCAGTATTCCTGGCTACAATGCTCATACTTGTAATGCGTTCCTTTTTTAAGAAGATTTATTTTTTTTTAAGGGAGAGAGGAAGAGAGGAGGAGAAACATCAATATGCGGCTGCCTCTCGCACACCCTCCACTAGGGACCTGGCCCACAACCCAGGCATGCGCCCTGAACTGGGAATCAAACCAGTGACCCTTTGGTTTGCAGGCCAGCACTCGATCCACTGAGCCACACCAGCCAGGGCCTGTAATGTGCTTCTTTACTGTGTTTTTAAATTATGCATCTGCCTCAGAGAACATCTTCTTCTCTCCTTCCTCCATCCGTGCCTCAGCACAACACCAGTTCAGGAACTACACAGTCCCGTAATCAGGTTTTTAGATCAGTATTCTCGATCTTGGCCCTACATTAAAATCACCTGGGAAGCGTAAACGACTCTGGACCCACTCCAGACCAATTAGCTAGGAATCCCTGAGGGGTGTGCCCCCAGCCTTGGTATTTTAAAGAAGTTCTCCATGCATTTTCTAAATATGCAGCCAGGTCTTGAGAACTATTGTTTTACCTCAAGTTCTCGTCTGCCCTCCCCTCAGCCCCAACCAGATCCACATTCCCAGTGACCCCAGAGTAGCTTCCATTTTGGAAAAACACAGGTCTTTCCTTCCTTTTATGACATAAGTAAAATTATTTATGGCTCATTATTTTTGCCTACATTTCTTTCACCTACACCATGTTTAGTCTTGATGACTCAGGAGATATTTACTACTAGAACTTGCTATATGCAAGACATAATCACTCTGCTAGATGCTGGGAATATAAAGAGAAGGAAGAAAGAGTCCTGCCCTCATGCTGCTGAAGATGCTACAGGAACGAAAGGAACCCCAACCAAATGCCCTATGTGCTCGAATGCCAGTGTAATACGTAATCATTAACAAGCTTTATGGGCCCTTAGCACACCTGTGTGTCATCCCACTGCATCTTCACAATGACTCTCTTTGGCTTTATTGTCATGATCGCCATTTTCCAGAGGAAAGCAAGGCTTGGAGAAGGGAGTCATGTGCTCAAGGACACCCAGATCGTAGGAGATGTGGTAGAACGCCTAGCCAAGCCACCGTCCTCTCCTAGCAGAACTCTTAACCTCTGTGCTCAAGCAGAAGAGCGATCCCCCCAAACTTAATTATTTATTTTCAAGTACTATGGCTGGACTCTTCTCAAGCATAGTTTATTTGAAGCCTCGCTGCCACAGACTCCAAAGAGTCTCTGAAGCCTTGCTTAAAGAGAGAACCCGAAGCTTTGATTACATCACAAAAGGAATATATCCATAGGATATATGGCTCTTGTCTTGTTCCTAAGGTCAAGTATAACAGTCCCATTGTCAGATTACATTAAGGAAAAGACCTGTGGCATAATCAATGGAGGTAGTGAGGCTGAATCATGGAAGGTAAGAAGTGGAGAGGACTTTAGGAATCAAGGCCCACCTGCCACACTAGACAGAAAAAGAAAGTAAGGTCTAAAGAGAAAGAAAGGGCATTTCCAACTTCTTGAATTCAGCAAGCGTGTTTTCTCCAACTTGATTATTACCAGCAAATACCTCCAACTTGAGGCTCACACAGATAATGCTACAGTGAGGAAGGAATGATGAGCAAGTGAGGAAATTATTTCTCTTCTGCCTTCTATTCCTAAAGCTGATGTTGATTTAAGCAAAGGCTTTTCTTTGGTTAGAGTTGTTAGCAGAACCAGAGAGATTTAGCAGAACCCGATTCAATGTTATAAACTTCATACCTGAAAATAAGTGTATGGAAATTTTCTACTTCCATTTACTCCTACAAAATTGAAATATAAGCCCTTAATTAATTTAGCATGAAGAGCTAAATACCAACCAAACTCTTAATTTTGCTTATTGTCCTTTTCTAACACAGCAATTTATTTTACTCCTTGTTCAAATATAGTTCATTAGATGTACATAACAAACGGTCACCTTTATTGCCTCAGTCCTGTGTCTCTGAAGTCCTGCATTCTTCAGCCACAGAAGTGCGAGTTCCATTTGGGTCCCTCCCAAACTCCGCCCCCACTCCCCAGCTCTGACATGACTCTGTCCTCCCCTCCTCTAAGCCAGAGATGAGACAGATGCCTCCACCGAGGACCAGGCATTGAGTGGCAGAGTGAGCATCCCTTCTGAAACCCCTGGATCCATTCCCTTTGAAGCCCGAGGGGCTACGCCAGACTGAGCAGCTAATTGTGGCAGGAGCAGGGGAACAACAAGTCCCAGCAGAGAGGGCTGAGGACGCCAATCCGGCCTCTTTTGAGAAAACTCATTTCCAGAACAGGATACTGTGGGGGTAGGCAGCCCATCTGCCTGGGGCGTTTTCACCCACTCATCCCTCATGGTTAAGGTAGCTGCCAAGTACAACTAACCCCCAGTCTTAAGCAGTCTACAGAGAATGCAAGCTCCCAGCAGTCTTCTTGTTACTATGGATACCTAGCTATTGGAACAGAGGTGGGCTTTCCCCAGATCATGCCAGAACCCTGGTCCTAAGTGCCACGGGTTTTCAGGCAGACAAGCCCTCCTCTTGCCAGACACATCAATTCCAGGGGAAAAGGTCTGGAATTCTGCATTTCTAACTAGCACTCAGTGATGCTGATGGTGTGGTCTAGAGCCCCCACTCTGAGAAGCAAGGTCCTAAATCAGCAGTGATACACCAGAATTATCTGGAGGGCTTTGAAACACAGATTGTAGGGCCAGACCCCAAGAGATTCTGATGTGATAGGTTCTAGAGACGAGCCCTTAAACTTGCATTTCTAACAAGCCCTCCAGTGGTGATGCTGATGCTGCTGATCTGGGAGCCACATTTGGGATCCCTTGTCCTGGGGCATTCATTTCCTAGGTATCAGCTGATGTGATTTAACCATTGTGATGAAAAGCAGCAGTCTCAGCCCTGGCTTCACAGTGGAATCACCTGAGGAGTTTTGCTGATGCCTGCCTGATTCAGAGGTTGTTAAATCAGGTATCTCAGAGTGGGGCTTGGGTATTGTCATAGAACAGACACCAGATAGACTGTAATGTGAATGGCCCTTCCTGGGGCTGTTTGGGGCACAGACCTATTCACACGCCAAGTGAAAATTCAAAGAAAGACTATGCTGACCTAAGTGAATAGAATTTCCTACCTTGTTTCTCCTCTGGTTAGAAGTAAAGTTCTTTTGAATGCCCAGGATTTAGTCACCACTTATCCTACAAATACATTAAAAGAAGCACAGTACTCTAAAGTTAAGTTTGATTGCTAAGACTTGCCTAACAATCTCATGATTCTAAATATTCTTCATGACCAACAGGGACATGGACCGCGAGTGCTATGAAGAGTAGATGCCGGGTGAGGAGCCTGAGCCAACGAGGGCGAGGTGGGCGAAGGGGAGGACAATGGGCGGGTTTGGGTGCACAGGCCTGGGTTCTAGCTTATATGAGTGGTTTCTTTCTCTGGGATAGGTGGACTAGGGACTGTGATGACACCCTCCAGTTCTGATAACAAAGGCTGACTCGAAGGTATAGCAATAAGGTTTCATTTTTTTAATCCTCACTGAAGGATATGTTTACAGATTTTTTTTTTTTTAAAAGAGAGGAAGAAAGAGGGAGGGAGGTGGAGTGGGGGATGGGGAAAGAGAGAGGGGAGGGGGGAGAACATCAATGTGAGAAATATCAATCAGCTGCCTCCTCCCATATGCGCCCTGACCGGGGATTGAACCACAACCTTTGGTATGTGGGGTGATGAACCAACCAACTGAGACACTCGGCCAGAGCTAAGGTTTCACGTATTTGTAGGACACATAGCAAATAAATCCTGAGCAGGAAAAACAGTCAGACCTGGGTAAAGAGACCATGTTTTTTTTTTTTTTTGAGAAGTTATAAAATTATATGGCCTTACCATAAATTTTTATCAGCACTTCTTAACACTCACGCACGGACCAGTGATAAAAAACAGGGCTCTGAGAGTCTGGAAGTGGAGACGAGGAGCCAGCCCTGGGGGAGGGGAGGAGACAGGGCAGGACCGCGCGGGCGGGGCAGGGTGAGGTGGAGGGGCGTCTACACATCTGAATACCATTCCCGTGATGGCCGACTGCTTTGGGAGCCAAGGCGGTCTGCTTTCTGGGCCACCATTTTTAAAATTTTCATTTATTTTTTTGGAATCTGCTAATTTTCACCGTTAGTTTTTCCCCATTCTCTCCACAGTGCCAGGGGAGACCAACCCTATTTCCATCTTTACCACAGCCTCACTGGCCAGCCTCATACAAGTTATTTCAGCTCTCATGCCTCAGCTTCTTTCTCTTTAAAATGAGGCCAAAAATCTGCTCCTTATAGCTGTAGGAATAAAATGAATGAACAGAGTGGAAGTGCCTGCTGGAGTCAAGCTGGTGTTCTTGTTTCCATCGCCTCCTGCCAGGAGAACAAGGACAGCGCAGGCTGCCTACCTGAGGCCTGGACCTCCATGATGTACTGGTGCAGGTCCTGGCCCTGCTGGATGACCTCGAAGGTCATGTTGTTCATGGCCAGCTTCCGCTCCGTGTGGCGCTGGAGCCGCTGCTCTGCAAGGGTCAGATCCTCCGTGTTGAAGTCGTTCATCTGCCGGAGCAAGTCTTCATTCCAGGCGTCTAGCTCTGCCGTCACCTGCGAGGGAACAGCCATCAGTCCAGGCTCGCAGGGCCGCGAGAGACTGCTAAACTCAGGGATTCCAAGACTTCTTAACTCACCCAACTCTCAGATTGACCTCTGCCTTGCATCTCTTGAACTTGCCCCACACTCAGATGTGCATGCCCTTGACAGTGTTTTGTGTGTATTTCAATGTCTATAGCAACAACAGTGGAGTAGCAGGAAACATTTAGATGATGAATTACGGTTTATGAAGTTTTCCCACACTCCATTCAGTTTGACCCTTACAATGCCCCAGAGAGGCAGGCAGGGTGGACACCTCCAGGTCTACCTTGCAGAAGAAGCAGCTGCTGCTCACTCAGACAGATGCAATGCTTTTCCCAGAGTTAACCCTGCTTGCAAGGAGTAGACCTGAGGCCATAGCTCAGGTCTTCTACTGACCACCAAGATTTTTGCCCACTATACTACAACTGTTACTTTAGGAAAAGTTCAGAATTGGAGAGGTCCTCAGAACTTAAGCACTGAATCTAACTTTTCAAGAAACAGAAAATGAGGCCTGGAGAAGCCCAGTAAATGGGCTGAGGTTACACAGTCTGTGAAAGCTGGTACACATCAAACCCTGAGTCTCAGTCTGGTTCCCATGTTCTATTGCACAGGTTCGCTTCCTCTATTACAAAGGCTGACACCTGGAGATGGTCACTAAACAAGGGGTAAATGCGTAGTATTGACACAGGAAAGTAAGAAGCTAGGAAAATGCCTGGGCAAGTGGAATGGGGAAACTGAGACAAGAAAACTAAAGAAAGCCAAACAGTTTGAGCAACTTACAGTCACCTGGTGAATCACAAGACCTTATCTCCCCTGACCAAGGACACCTGAGAGCAAATGGTTTATACCTCTCCTCCCTAACCAAATAGTACAGAACCCCCCTGGCTATAAACCACAGGTGTCCGGGGAAGAAAGGAATGCCACAGCAAACGGGAGAGAGAACGCAGAACAAAGAGAGCATCCTGAGAAGAAGCTGCCCCTGACTCCTCTTTCAGCCCTCTTCCTAGAGAAACAGCATCTCTGCACTCCACCCCCCCCACATCCCCACATTTCCCCTGTATAAACTTCTGAAAGCTCAAGGGCAGGTGGATGTTAGGGTTTTTACCCCCCCACCTTCTCAGATGCTGGACTCTGATATTAAAAGTGCAGTTATGATGCAATCCCTGTCTCTGCTTTCCGTCTGAGCAGGGACAGGCAGCCTGAGCCCCGGACTTGGTCGCCCTCCAGTTTCAGTACAGGTATAGAAATTCAAGCAGATTACACTCTACTGAAAGGCACCAATGATTCTAATAAAGACTGAAGCACATAATAAAGGGAAACTTTGTCTCGATATGAATTTGTGAATTAGTTACTGCTTTACACCTCTGCTCACGTGGCTTCCCCGCATCAACTCTCAAATACGAAACTGCCCAGAGAGTCTGAATCCTACACTTCCTTTACACATGCTGCACCCCTCCACAGAACAGGGACTCAGAAGCACTGAACTGGGGGAGGAGACAGGGCAGGACCGCGCGTGCGGGGCGGGGTAGAGGGGCGTCTACACATCTGAATAGATGTGAATCTATTCAGCCAATAAATGAATCAGAGAAAAGTTTTTCTACTGCGGTCTTCAGGTCTGTTATCTCATGCTACCCCCACAGCAGCCCTGTGAAGGCAACTTTTCTGAGAAGTTAAAATGAAAGCCTCACCCCAGATCAAACAGCCACAACATGGCCCAGGCAGCCTAAGCACATACATATCCCAGGGCCCCAGCTTAGCGATTTGCACTGCTGGGCTTCACAGCAGCTGCCATGTGGCAGAACCTTCCCAGTCAGCAAGAGGGGCTGCTCCAGGACCAGCAGGGCACCTAGTCCTCTGTGCCCCCTTCCCTGCCCCACCCCCCCACTCAGGTACCACTTTCTGATTTCTCTCATCACAGACGTAGTTTAGCCTATTCTTGGATTTTCAATGAAATCACAGAATATACTCTTTCAGGTATGGCTTCATGTGTTCAACACACTGTATTTAAGATTCATCCATGATGTGTGTATCAGCAGCCCATTCTTTGCAACTGCCATCCATAGATACACCACAATTTGTTTATCGATTCTCTGGCTGATGAATTTTCGAGTTGCTTCCAGTGTGTGGCTATTACAAATAAGGCTAATGTAAAAGTTCTTATACGAGTCCTGTGAGCACAGATGTTCATTTCTCTGCCTAGGAGTGCGACTGTTGTGTCAAAGGGTGTGGGTGTGTGTCAAGCATGTCCAACAGGAACTCCTCATTCCCCACAGGCATGCACTGGGTGGGCCAAAAAGTTCGTTTAGTTTTTCCCATAAAATAAAAGACAAAATTTTCATTTTCACCAATAACTTTATTGATTTGGATATTTTGAATATGTGGGCTCTCTCCCGCATGGTATAATGTTGATTGTTCTCAATTAATGTCTCGATTTGGTCACTATCAACTTCAACTGGTCTGCCTGACCGTGGAGCATCATCCCGAGAGAATTCTCCAGCTAAAACTTTGCAAACCACGTTTGATACATTTCATCAGTCACAGCACCTTCTCCATACAATGCACAAATCGTTTGCTGTGTTTTAATTCCATTTTTACCTTTCTTGAAATAATAAATATAATATGCTGAAAATGTTGCATAATTTCTTCTATCTTTAATATCAAAGGGCTACACAAAGATTCACTCATTTTCATAAGTGTTTTTAAAAATACACACTAATATGACAGCTGTCACCAAACAACCTAACAAAATTGTTTCAAATGAAGTTCAAGGCAGCTAAGCGCTCCCAGAGCCATTCCCAGACAAAACCAAATGAACTTGCTGTGCAGCCCAGTATGAAAGTTCCAGTTGCTCCGCATCCTCGGCACCACTTGGTACTATCAGCCCATTTACATTTAGTCGTCCTCGTGGGTGTGAAGGGATAGCTCATGGTTTTATGATGACTAACGACGGTGAGCACATTTTCCTATGCTACTGGCCATTTGTGTCTACTTTTTAAAAAAATTTTATTTATTTATCTTTAGAAGGGAAGAGAAGGAGAGGAGAGAGGTATTAATGTGTGGTTGCTTCTGGTGCATCCCCTGCTGAGAACTGGCCCCTGCTGGGAACTGGCCTGCAACCCAGGCATGTGCCCTGATGGGGAATCGAACCGCGATCTTTTGGTTCGCAGGCCCATGCTTAATCCACTGGGCTACACCAGCCAGGGCTTGTGTCTAGTTTTCAAGTGTTTTTAAGTCTTTTGCCCACTTTTCAAAAACTAGGTTGAATATAGGTTTGTGAGAGTTCTTAATGTGTGCTAGATATAAGCCTTTTATCAGATAATATATTGAAAAGAGCCCAAGCAAAATTTTTAGTTCATTTCCTTGCCTACAAACTAAAAGAAATTAAAATAAACCAAGACAGCAAGCATGGAAGGAAGAGCCAACCTTTCTTTCAATATTGGATTTTGTTTTGTTTCCATAAAACTGAGTCTACGAAGGGTCTGTTTGCTGCAGGAAGATCCCAGAGGGGTCCCAAGGCCAGGGGTCTGGGAGCGGAAAGCGCCGAGGGTCCTGGCGAGGAGGAGCAAAGTCGAGGGGCTTCAGTTAAGACTGAGAGGCTCAGAGCTCTGGTGTCTTGGGAATTTGAATCTAAACCAAATGTGAACTGTGTCTAGGAGTCTATGTCTCGTGCTTCTATATTCTTCCTTCTCCCTTCCCTGTCACACTCACTACCTGACACATCAGGCAAAGGGCCCAAATCTGTTACGAAACCTGAAGAATGTGGATTTCACGGAGCCACTCAGCAGAAGAGCCCGACTCCTCGGGCTGCCCTCCCTGTGTTTAAACGCTCTTCTCTGACTCTCTCCCCATTCCACCCATGCACCGAGGCCCAGAGCCTTGTCATAGTCTCATTTGTGTATTTTTTTCCTGGTTGATTTGTGTATTTCTAGCATTTGCTGGAATTTAAGTTTATTCTCTTTTCTATTTCCTCAAGGACTACTCTTTCATTGGGTTTCTCCTCTCTACCTTCTTTCTGGGGTACAAGGCTGGCATACAACAGGTGCTCATTTTTTTTTTTTTAAGAAAAAATTTTTGTTTCCAAACCTGAAGCTCACCTACTGCTAATGAGCAAACCTAGCTCTCCGGCTTCACCTCAGGCACGTCTGTTACATGAACCAGCCCGCTGCCGTCCTCACTGACCCTGAGAGTCAGCTTTGCCCTCTACGGCCTCCTTCCCTGGTCCAGTGGCCTCCTCCCCGTCCATTCGAGTCATCCCCACCTTCACGGTAAACACTCTGGCAGGAAACAACCCCCAGACCCAGATGTTTATCTCTGGCTTATCTCATAACATGGGGCCTGGGCTAATTTGCTAATACAGAGACAAGACTCTGAAAACACACAGACACACAAGCCCCAAAACAAACAAATAAAACTTGCGCTAGGGAATTGATTCCGTGATTTAACTCCATTTGGAAAAGAAACCAGGAAGAATTTGTTCTGGGCAGAAACTGGGGCCTGAACCAAATAAATGAAAGAACACAAGGTGCCCACAGGAAAGTCAGCTTTTAATCAACCTAATTTGCTTTCTCCTTCCACTCAATTAACTCCATCTCAGCTCCTGGCCCACTCACTCTTGGCCCCAGTGGCCTCTGCCTCCCTTGCTCTTCTGAATTAATTGGAGTGTTCAGGTACACCAATGTCTGAGAGATACGTTGGCAACATATCTATTCTAACAATTGTATGCTCTAAAGCCACAGCCTAAGGGAAATCAGAAAAGGAGCTAAACAGAAATTCACAAAGGATAAGAGGCAGTGGGAAATGGGAAGACTCACTTCAAAACGAAGCCTAACAGTTTCCTGCCAGACGAGATTCCCTGAATCCAGCGTTCCGCTGCCCAAAACTGACCCTCGGGACTTGGTTCCGCAGCTGCCTAGTGCTCCATGTCAGGGAGCCCTCTCCAGTGGCCTCCCCCGTTTCCTGGGCCTTTCCCAGTA